TTTGTGACCAAAAATGATCTGAACTTTAATCAGGCAAGAAAATAATTTATTTTCCAATAAATTGCTTGCAATAACTTAGAGGCTAGATTGAAACTGATTGATAGATACCATAGATTCAAGTTAATTTAATGTGGGACCTGCTTTCTCAGATGGGAGACAAGGAGGAATAGTCGAGAAAGGGTGCTATTTCTACATCTTTCTTTCATTTCCCTGGGAGTTGGTGCACTGACTTGCCCACATCCTAGGGACTGGATCTAACCCTTTGTATCAACGGGGGCACGGAACTGAGCCATAGCTGCTGCCCCACCATTCAGATTATGTGGTCAGACATTGCAAGGTGGATGTTGCAAGGCAAACAGTGACCAGGGTAGTCAGATTATGGTATCATGGGGTGGCAGCTGGATTAAGCACCTAAATATTTCATTTAAATGGATGTACCTCTTTTGGACAGAGGGGGTTAACTTATCAAACTGGGGCAAAATATATGGCTAGAAGATGTCAGTGTGGCTAGAGCAGATGATTTGTGGCTGCTGTTCTTTGGTGTGAAATGAGTTTGGGGCATTGGGGTTGGATGCAGACAGTATGAGGCTGGCATGCTGGGCTCTGCTCACCTGGGTTGTTAAAGGAATATCTTTAAGGGAAGATGGGGCAATGACATGGTCTAGCCTAGCTTGGGACTCTGTTGACTTGGCACTGCCTTCAGGTGGCAAGGAGTCATGGAGTGGCATATACCCACATGGCCTCCAGAGAACTCCCTCTCCTGGTAGAAGCTACAGTGGCTCCTAAAGCGGTTGGTGGTGGTTATCAGGGGTGGCATTTGGGTCTGTTGATGCAATGGATCCAGTCCCCCCATGCTAGGCGGGGGGGCTGCTGCAACCAATAAAGTTGTGGACTTTCCCCCCTCTAAATAAGTATGTGTTGTATCTTTTGTAGGTACGCTTAGCCAGTTTGGGGCCTGCTCAGTACTAAGCCAACAACTACTAGTCTGAGGCATATCAATTGTGGTGAAGCTGTACAACTGTTGTCTTACATGATTCCCTTTCATTTCTGTGGGGATCCTGTACTTTAGAGAATCTGCTCTTTGTGTCATTGGTATTTTACTATCCTTCAGGCAGTGGTTCCCGTAAGTAGGCGTTACCCAATAGTTGTCAGCTACAAAGGAAGCCTTATTTTCACTTTGTTCTTTAGACATTTAAAGCTATGGAAGCAATTCTCCTAGTATTGCTTCATGTCCATGATGAAACTATAATATCCAGGTTTTCTTTCTTCTGTGTTGTAATGATGGTGAGGGCATAAAGAATGCCTTGTGTAACTGAGGAAAAACTTCTTGCGGCAATCATTACACAGTTAGAAAATTAACTCAATCACAAGACTCATTAGAAAGTCTGAATTTTTGACCAAAAATGATCTGAACTTTAAGCAAGCAAGATAATAATTTATTTTCCAATAAATTGCTTGCAGAAATTTAGAGACTGGATTGAAATTGATTGATAGCTGCCATGGATCCAAGTTAAGTAAATGTAGAACCTGATTTCTCAGGACAGAGGGAAGAAGGGAGGGGTGGTCAAAGATACTATTTCTACATCTTTCTTTCATTGCCCTGGGAGCTGGTGCACTTTGACCATATTCACCATATACACACATAGAAAATGGACTTTGCTTATCTAGAGCCTCACTTTCAAAATGAGTGATGAAAAATCAGGTGGCTTTGATAGATCTATATTTGAAAATCCAAAGCTGGATCAAGACAGGAATCTACATCAGTGGGGTTTTGTTTAAATTGCTCCAAAAATCCATTGTTTGGATTGCCTGGGATATGTCTGTATAGCTAGCCCTGTAAAAGTTGGGTATGGATAGGGCATATTTTGTTTCACCTATATAAGCTGATGGTTTGAGGGATCTCTCACATCTACATTTGAATATCGATATTGATGGTTTAAGGGTTCTTTTTAAGGAGAAAAGCCGGATAAAAATATTAGAAATAAATAAATTTCACTTTCCTGCAGAGTATGTGATATCATTTGAATTTGAAAAGTGTTGCTACATACCAAAGCAATGTTGCTAAGGGAAATATAGCGTCCTCCAGATCCCATGGCCAGCCCAATTTCTATGTCTTTAATTTTGCATAGATTATTCCATGGAATTCTTTTCTTGCCACCTATCAGTTTGGTATCATTAGAGGAGATCTGCTGAATCAGACAGAAAAGTTTATTTGATCCAACGTTCTGCTCAAAATGTAGCCTTTCTATAGCTTGCTACATGAATTTGGAGGCCTTCTATTTAAAGACCTTCAAATTCACATGGCAAATGATACCTTTTGATTTTCTGTGCTGTCCATCTTTGATTTTGATCTGTTTTGTCCATCTTTATTAATATAGTCTACAAAATGGCATCAAATAGCGAAGAAAGAGTTTGTTTCTATTTGCTACATAGCTTTCCTCTGCACGTTTAGTTTCTCAGCTACGTTATTTCCAACATGCATATGCAAGAGCTCTAAAGAGAGATTTTCTTCTGTCTTGTAATGCTTCCCTCTAATTTCCTGCCTGCCGTCATTCCCTCCAACAACAGGATTTAATCAGAGATGTGTGACTCACCAATCACATTTGCACATTAAGCCTGTTTTTAACTTCTGGTAATCAACCTCAAAGCAAATCATACTAAATGTAAGACGTGTAACTGAACAAGATCTCATGCTGTGGCAAAGTGATGTCTGTCGTCTCTCAAGGTGGTACCTTTTTTAGGAAGATGCTAAGCATCCAGTTTGACTCTCTAATTCATGGTTTTTCATGGTTGATTAAGAAATCAGTTTCATATGCCTGAGCTAGAGCTTGGATTTAAAGGTTTTAGGATTGCCTTAGTCCAAAGAAAGAAGCTTGTTGAGTAATCACAGAATTATATGGATCACTCGGATCTGAATAGCACATGACTTTTATGTTTTTTTAATGTTTATAGTGCTTCACCTATGTTGTTTGCATGTGGCAATGTGGCATGAAGTATTTTATTGGACATTGCGAAGTTTAATATCCCATCTGGTGTAGTTGAGCATGAGAGTCAAAGCCTTGCTTTACAGAGGCTTGTTGTAAAGAGCTAGTATTTACAACTGGTGATGTTGTAAAGACAGTCAACAGTTCCAAGTGACAAATTACTCAATAATACTGTAGTCTGCAAGTCTACATGGGTTTACCTCTGAGTAAGCAGACATAGTTTTGCACTGTCCATTGCACAGATATTATGGAGGTTTTGTTTTGTTTTTTATTTTAACAAAGCAGCTGCAGAAAGCTCAAGTCTAGACTGGAAATTTCCGTAAGGAAAAGAGGACAGGTGGAGGTATTTACATTTTCTTTGCATGAAATTTTTCATATAAAATCAATCTTTTCATATAAAATTTTATATGAATATAAATTCATATAATTTTTTTCATATAAAACCATGTATCTCAATTAACAGAAGAAAAGATGTGAGTATCTGTATTAGTTCCAATATAGTGTAAAAAATAGCATTTGGTTTTTTTTAAAGTACAAAAATAGTTATTGTGTTGCTTCTCCCTAGCTTCTGATCCAGTTTGCACCTAGCATATATTTAGACCAGATAATGTGTGCTCAGATACTCTCTGTCCCATGTTTGAGGAAACTAAATGTGATCCGTAACCCATTAATATTTTCTGTAAGCCCCTAAACGCAACATGGGTATTCTTAGAAATTGCTAATAGCAATGGAGAACACTGTCTGGTTATAAAGAGTAGTCTAAATTTTCAGTTACAATATCAAAACTGGGTTACGATGCCATAAATATCTTCAGGGTTTTAAGTTATTCAGAGTATTTCATCAGGTTTGGTTGTACAAGGGGAAAAGGCAGAAGAAACTGTAAAACCCTCAAAACTTGACCAGATGTTGTGGCTGTGAATTCTGCAGTCATCCACAGGATGGAGATTGCAGACTGAATAAATCACTGGTAGTTTGCTTGTATCTACAGTATTAGGTTATTCCTGTAGGCCTCTGGAAAAGTAGGAAGTTCTGACACATGAGGCATTGGGTTTGATTCTCTTGCTTATATATTCTAGGGTCTGCATTTCTGGTTGTGTGAATTGATAAAGATAGTTTAGAGCAGGGGTGTCCAACCTTTCACCTTCCCTGGGCCACATTAGAAGATGAAAATTTGGTTTGGGCCGCACATAAATTTGGTTTGGGCCGCATGGGGGGGCAGCCCTAGCCATCCTCTGCAGCCCCACTCCAAGCGTGCTTACCGGCAGCTACGATCTCAGACAGCAGAGGCTGCCAGCTTCGACTCTGGTGGCTTTATAGGGCCGGGAGGGGCTCCACCTATTGACGGGGATGGCGCAATGCAGTCACGCAGCCCCCCTCCCCTCCCACTCCTTCCTTCCTTCCCTCTCTCCCCCTCTCCCATTGTGATATGCCCCAGCCGCATTCCAGCCGCAAGTCCCGGCAGTGTAACTTGCAACTTTGGAATTTCTTTAAAAATAAAAAATTGCACTGGGACGCATTATGAGCCGACCTGGGACGCATGTGGCCCTTAGGCCACAGGTTGGACAAGCCTGGTTTAGAGCCTAATAATAATAGCTCTTGGGATCATCCAGCCAACCAGCTAGCATGGGCATTATAGACCAAAAAACCCTAACTTTTCCAAGCTCTCAATTGGATGTTCTGGCTACCTGCCAATAAGAGAATTCCCTTGTCCTCTGATAGCTGAATATCTTCATATCTACTTTCAATTTTTTAAAAAACTTATCTTAATCCCTAGATGTAAGCTGATTGCAAATTCAAATAAATAAGCGGAATGATGCTTGAACAAGTACATTGTGCCAACCCCATCTCTGTCTGTTAAAACAATAAAAATAAAATTGACAATCTTCTCTGTAGGATTGATGTTGTAATAAGATTGCTAAATGACAACAATGATGATAAAGGACTTTGTTTGCCCCCAAGTACAAATCATTTATAATATTTTTCTTTCACTTTTTTCCTTCTTTGATTTTGTTGCAGGAAGGAAAATGTCTCTATGTCATTCTGTTGATGGCCATGTACTGGTGTACCGAAGCCCTGCCATTATCTGTGACTGCCCTCCTTCCCATTGTTCTCTTTCCCTTCCTTGGGGTCCTTCCAGCAAGCAAGGTTTGTCCTCAGTACTTTTTAGACACCAATTTCCTCTTCTTGAGTGGCCTAATCATGGCAGCCGCCATTGAAGAGTGGAATCTGCATCGCAGGATCGCACTGAGAATCCTTATGTTTGTGGGAGTCCAGCCAGCAAGGTAACTGATCAAATAAGTAAGCTTGTGCTTGGCTTTGTATTAACAAAATAGACAACAAGGCAAATGAGTATAATATGTATCTAAGAAGGATTTGAGAAATCCTCTCTCTACAGGGAGACACAGGAAAGCAAAGCTGTTGCTAACACTCCATGATCTGGTAGTTTTAGTGACCATGTGCAAACTAGTAGTATGGCTTATATTGGTCTGAGGCCTACAAGTTAGACAAGTTGAGTCCTACACATATTTAATTTGATAAAGAAACTTCTGGGAAAATTTGACACTATGGAATGGTCACCTTGTTGATGAATTAATTCCCATCCTGATGATATAGGATATTTATGAGTTCTCTAAGACAGTGGTCCCCAACCTTGAGCCTCCAGATGTTCTTGTACTTCAACTCCCAGAAATCGTGGCCAGCAGAGGTGGTGGTGAAGGCTCCTGGGAGTTGTAGTCAAAGAACATCTGGAGGCCCAAGGTTGGGGACCACTGCTCTAAGAGAAAGAACATACAGTATACATACACCTCAACCTATGAGAAGGGGAGGATGTTACTGTTTCCTTTTTCTCAATGAAAAACTGTAGAAAGAGTTGTGACTTTACAGTGGTTCCCAACCTTAGTTAACCCAAGTGTTCTTGGATTGCAGTTCCCAGAAACCACAGAGAGCACAGCTGGTGGTGAAGGCTTCTGGGAATTGCAGTCCAAGAACACATGGGTTAACCAAGATTGGGAACCACTGGTCTACAAGGCATTTTTGTATCTCTGTTACATTATTGAATGGTGGTACAGCATAAATGTACAGTAAAGTCATAGACTGCTATTGAAGCAAATTGCTAAAAATATATAAGCAGGCAAACTTCAAGGGGTCATGCCAATTCATTTTTTGTATCTCTGTTACATTATTGAATGGTAGTACAGCATAAATGTATAGTCATAGACTGCTATTGAAGCAAATTTCTAAAAATATATAAGCAGACAAACTTCAAGGGGTCATGCCAATTCATATTCAGCACTTAGTATGAACCATTTCTCTTCTTTCTGAAAATGGGAAGAAGATTCCTGGGAATCAGCATTTCTTCAAGAAGACAAATTAATTGGGTTAATTTGACTTTGTCAATAGCAATGAGGAAATTATTTTAGCTTGGGGCCTTGAATTCCAATTAAGGAAGAGTTTCAGAGGCCACATTCCAACAGTAGGCAGCTTTGCTATGAGGCAGTTTATGCCAAATGTAATTTTTTTTACAAATTTTAATATTTGATTTTTGCACAGCAGACTTCAGTTATGTGCATGTCATCACAGGGATAAGTCCTACTGCAATAGCTTACTGAGTTGAAAAGTTCTCCCCAGGCTGTAAAGCAGAGCTGCTCACCTCTGTTGAACATGAAGGCCAAATCTTCCCTTTCTCACTAAATTAGTCTGATTTACAGAAGAGTTGTAGGAGGGTTATACAGTACTGCAGAAGCAACAGCAAGCTTTACTGTAACTGTTAAAAATAATAATAATATTTTAAAAATCACTGTTCATCTACAAAGCCAGAAATAGACATATGGCTGATCACAGGCCTAACATTATGCTACCTCCACATCAATTTTTGAGTTTTCTATCGCTTAACGAGGCACTCTGGGCCATCGCTTTCGCGCCCTGCCCTCGCTTAACGAGGGCGCGAAAATGGCGGCGCTATGAAGAAACATCGCTGAACGGTTAATGCATTTCTATGGCTTTTTTTATTCCGTTTAGCGATGTTTCGCTATAGCGAAGGTTAATCCGGAACGGATTAACCTCGCTATGCGAGGCACCACTGTATATAAAAACACACAATAATTCGTTGTAATTGTATAATCTTTCCAGAGGTTAGTGTTTCTAATGGAGGTCAAGAGTAATGCAAATAGAGTGGTAAGGGGAGAAATATATATACAGTATATTAAAAAAGCAGAGCTTATCTAATTGAGTTACTCATAATTATAATTGTGTGCTGTCAAGTCAATTCTAACTTAGGTGACCCTTTTCAGGGGTTTCTAGGCAGATAGTCACAGAAGTAATTTACCATTCTTTTCTTCTAGGGGCACGCTGAGACCATGTAGTTTGCCCAAAGCCACACAGGCTGGCTCTGAAAGCATCTTTATTCTTAACTGACTTCTGGTAGTAAAACAGAAAAATTATTGGAGATCATTAAGCATAACATTTCAAATACTAAACCACAGAGATGACTGGGGACTTGGACAAGTAACTTATTTTTGGCTACAGCTTCCAAAATCTTCTAGCCCACTATGGCTATCAGTCATCTTGTGTGGAAGATTCTGGCACCGTAGTGCAAAAAAAGTACTTTTCTAAGCTTTCTTTAAAAGCATGTGGAAAGTTTCTAACTTTTTCCCCTTAGTTACTAAGAGATAAATGAAAACTGTTTCAGATTAACATTTATCCCAGTTGTACAGATTTGGATTTCTTAAACAATATGACTGAGATAGCTTTGTCCTTATTAATCTTCTGAGACCCTGGTTAGTTCGAACAAGAACAAAAACTGACCCTGTAAAAAACTCTTTCTTTCTTTCTTTCTTTCTTTCTTTCTTTCTTTCTTTCTTTCTTTCTTTCTTTCTTTCTTTCTTTCTTTCTAGGCTTATTCTAGGAATGATGCTGACAACCTCATTCCTTTCTATGTGGCTGAGTAACACAGCCTCTACAGCAATGATGTTACCTATTGCAATGGCTGTTCTGAAGAATCTCTTTGGAGAGAAAGAAGCATCCCGGGATCTCAGCAGGGAAAAAGAGGAAAACAAAGGTAGGCCTCCTTGGCTTATTATAAGTTCACTAGTTCTGTCTGTCTGTCTGTCTGTCTGTCTGTCTGTCTGTCTGTCTGTCTGTCTGTCTGTCTGTCTGTCTGTCTGTCTGTCTGTCTGTCTGTCTGTCTGTCTGTCTGTCTGTCTGTCTGTCTGTCTGTCTGTCTGTCTGTCTGTCTGTCTGTAGGCAAATATAAAAACTGATTGGTTCTTAAGGGTTTAATAAAAGATTCTAAGGACATTCCACTTGTAAAAGCATGTACTCCTGGAAAATTGCATTTTCTTGATAGACATATGGTAATTTTGCATTATTTATTTTGCTTTATATGAACCCCCAAATACAAATCAAGAAAGCAGATATGGAGAACTTCCAGAGATATGGGCACCACACACTCCCGAGATTTCAGAAGGCCACATCCACATGTGTCTACACATCATTTGTTTGTCTGAACTGAGGCAGGTTTCATTCATACGAAAGAGGCTATTAGGTTTGCAAATTCAACCCAGTTCTCTTAAGAACTGAAAAATACTGTGTATTAACCCACCAAAGTAGAAAGAATTCTGTGCTAGGCATCTTTATAGTTCGAGAGGGTTTTTTTTTAAAGGGATGGTTGCTGACATATTATTGGTGTTTATGTAAGGTTTGTATAACATCCAATGGCTAATTGTCACTAATTGATAAGGTACAATATTGGGGCTTATCTCTTTTGTACTATTGATCATGAGATAAAACATAACATAAGATTCATATAATTCACTCCAGCTAATCATGATTCGCTGGAGCAAATTATACAAACCTAAGGTGAACACCAGTACGATTCTGGTTGGCATCTATAACTAAAAAAAATCTGTTTCTCCTTTCCCCCCTTTTACCTCCTTCTTTTTGACACATGGTGGAAAACTGAGAATCAATAACAGCAATACTTCCCCCTCCCATGTGTTTTCTGGAGGACTGGGATACAGTGAAATAGGTAGAAAAGTAGCTTTTATGATGTTGTGACACTGACAGTGTATGATGGTTGTTGAAACCAGGGAGGAGGGTAAATGGGGAGGTACAATAGAGAACATAGACAGAAAGGGAGGGGCCACAAGGGCTGGGGTGAGATGTTGGGGAACAAAGGGAGCATGCTTGGGGATCTGGTCATCCAGATCCAAGAGTCACCTTCCTCTGAGCAAACCACTCTGATGTAGCACAGATATTCTTGTATTGATGGATATGATAATAAACTGTTAATATAATGTTTGGTTGTTGTAGGTTTTTCGGGCTGTTTGGCCATGTCCTAAAGGTTGTTCTTCCTAACGTTTCGGCAGTCTCTGTGGCCGGCATCTTCAGTGGACAGGAGTCAGAACTCTGTGCTCTGGTGCAGTTTTGTGGGATACTTGAGTATTTATAGCTGTGGGATCAGCTTTTGTCTTTTGCAGGAGATTGGGTGATTATGGTGATCAGCATGTTTTTTGTTGTGGGTGTATTGTTGTGATAAGGGGGAGAGATGATCTGTCAGTGTGATTGATGGGTGTTGTCAGCTGGTCTTTTTTGTGCAGTGATCACCGGTCCTTGTGGCTGGGTAGAGTTTGTTGCCCTTTTGCAGGCTGTATTTTTCAGCGCTCGGAGCCAGGCTTTGTTGAGTTTTAGACTTTCTTCTTTTTTGTTGAAGCTCTGCTGGTGTTTGTGGATTTTAATGGCATCCCTGTGCAGTCTAACATAATAATGATTTGGTGTTGTCCAGTACTTCTGTGTTTTGAAATAGAATTTCATGTCCAGCTTGTTTCAGGGCATGTTCAGCTACTGCTGATTTTTTCGGTTGTTTTAGTCTGCAGTGTCTCTCATGTTCTTTGATTCTGGTATGGATGCTGTGTTTTGTGGTTCCAAAATATACCTGGCCACAACTGCAAGGTATACTCCGGCAGTGGTGAGGGGGTCACTTTTGTCCTTTGCTGACCATAACATTTGTTGCATTTTTGTGGTGGGCCTGAATCCTGTTTGTAGGTTGTGTTTTTTCAAATTCTTTTCCATGCGGTCCGTGACCACTTTGATGTATGGAAGAAATACTTTATTTGTGTGAGGCTGTTTTTCCTCTTTAGTTTGGGGTTATTTTCTTGGTTTGATGGCTCTTGTGATTTCATTCTTGGAATAGCCATTTGCCTGTAGGACCCAGTTCAGATGGCTGAGTTCAGTGCTAAGAAATTGAGCTTCACAGTTCCGATTTGCATGGTCTACCAGTGTTTTGATTATGCCTTTTTTCTGTTGTGGGTGGTGGTTGGAGTTTTTGGGTAGGTACCAGTCTGTGTGGATGGGTTTTCTGTAGACCTTGTGTCCCAGTAGGATGTCAGGTTTGTGTATGACCATAACATCTAAGAAAGGGATTTGGCCCTCTATTTCTTTTTCCATGGTGAATTGTATATTTGGGTGGATGCTGTTAATACGACTACTCTGATTGAAAACTTGGCTATTAAATCTGCTTTTGTAAGTCTTAGTAAAAGGCACAGGATCAGGAAACATATTCTGTAACATGGGAGTGGAGAGTTGATAGTCTCCAAGTTGTGGTCTTGCAGATCCTAAGACTTATCACCATATTGTTTGCCCCTATTTTGTCGACATGTTTTTATTATGTAAAAACCATTATATATATATATATTCATTGTGTATTTCTATGTTGTAAGCTGCCTAGAGTGGTCTTAACCGACTAGATAGGCGGGATATAAATAAAATAAATGAGTAAAATAAATAAATAAATAATCTCTCTGCAAGCCCAATGCTGAGTGGGGCTGATGTAATTAGGGGTCTGGCAATTTCTGGATGACCACATAGCACAGCCCCACCCCATTTCTAGTATTTAGCAGGAGACAGATGAGTGAGCTTTTTCTCCACCATAATATTCCTTAAATATATAACTTCAAGCAAAATGCTTTCTGTGAGCTGGGGCAACTGCATGCATTCACATGCAGAAGTTTTGAATATTTAGGGATATGGTAAGGCAGATTTCTGAAGTACTGCAGAAACTATTTATTTAAAGTATTAATTAACCAATGTTTTTGAACACCAGGGTTCCTAAAGAAGTGGACAATAAAATAGATATCAACATACTAGGAACAGTTGTTTCCCCAAGGTCATGCAATAGTGGCTGTTCATTTAGTTAAAACCCAGCTTTCTCCCTTGCAGGACTAAAATGGCTTAATCATTAATATTTTAAAAAAAACCAGAAGCTGAAATCCTGTTGCTTGGTGTAGTAAGTCACCACTAGAGTAAGCACATTTGAATCAGTGAAACATACAATGGGCTTGATTCACCAAATCTCCATTGAGTCACTAGGCCTACTTTTGTGTGACTTACTTTGCTAAGTAACGGGATTTCAGTCAATGACAGTGAATACAACAGAAAGAAACCATAATAAATTACCAAATTAAAAAGTACTGAATTAGCATGATTTAAAAGCCATTTTAAAACAAACGAAGGTGTACAATACCCATCATTAAAACATCCCTCCTCCTTAGCCAAAGAGAAGCCAAAGGCTTGAATGATAAACAAATCTCTTAGCCTGCCAATAGAAGGAGAGCTGAGAAGGGATCCAGTTGCCTGAGAGCAGTGATGGAGAAGGTGCACTCTTATATCCTTGTCAAATGTACCTTTGTACTTGATGGCAGAGAGTCTTTCATATAGCCTGGAGTGGAGCCATACAAGGCTTTGCATGTCAATCAGCACTTTGAACAAAGCCTAGAAATAGATCACGGAAGGTTTGGGGGCAAATGATTTCTGTCCTGACTATAACTGGCTGCAATCAACAGTCTGGCTGCAGCATTTGGACCTGCTGGAGTTTCCAACAATTTTCTACATAGTGTTAAAGTAATCCAAATAGGATATTACAAAGCAGGTCTCCCTACTAGATTTTGTAGGAATGGGCACAGCCGGCACACTTTGTTTAACTGTGCAAATGTACTCCCAGCTACTGAGAGTGCATGATCGAATCCTAGAAGGTGGTTACTTTCCCATTCACTGACCTGACATTATGCAAGAACATTTTAAACTTAGGCAGGACAGGAGGCTGTTAGTGAGTCTGTTCAGGTTATTTGAATTGAGGGACATTTTGTAGGCATCCAGCACCCTGTGGCTGTTTTCCCCTCTCACATTAGGACCAGTGATTTGCTCATTCTGTATCTCATTCATTAGAATTTCAGTGGCTTCCGAATAGCATTAAGGGTGAATGGATGGTACTGTATTTTGTCTCTCTGTTTCAGCAGAAAACCCACTGGAAATTAAGAATGAGCAACAGTGACTATATTGTACCCACTTGTGTAGAACCTGAGACATGCATGAAAGAGAAGACTGAATCTATATATGTCCATATTCTTTTTTCCCCCCTTTCACTTCTTTCCATTTTATTATTGGTGTCGCAGAACTGAATCAGATTCACATTTCTTCAATGAGAAATGAGGTCAGTCTTACTGGGTTAGTGAAGTGTAAAATATGACATTGCAAAAGTCACTGGTTCGCTGAGCAGTTACAGACTTACATGCCTTCTGCAGCGGAGTAGACTTTGGCCGCAGTGAACTTGCTTTTCCTTGTAATGTTCTGACTTGTCTTAATGTGGGGAAATGGACAGAGTAGGCAACTTTTGCGAATGGAAAAATTTATACTGTGACATCCACGGTCACAGTCATTCAAGAGCAGTCATTTAATTTAGATCAAGGACCAAAAGGGCATTCCAGTGTTTAATTATCCTAATCCTGGCTCTCAACTAAAATGCAATAATAGGAGGTTGGTGGAGGCAAAACATTTCAGTAAGACATGACATCTGTAAATGAAACTTGGTAATTTTCTGGGTGCAAAGGGAGAAAAACTCTACAATGTCTACTAATTTTGAAACCTGAAATATTTACCATTTTGCTGAAATCACTGTTGATGTGGGAGTTTCATAGAAGAAATCTCATGTCCCAGGTATCTCAATTTCACCGTAGCTGGAGAATTATTCCCTTGTGAACAAAATAGTCAAGGAAATAGGTTATTTCTTTAGAAGCTTCTCAGAAACATCCTTTAATTCCCCCCCACACACATACCTTTATTTATGGCAGATATGACTTTTTTTAAAATATCTGCCCTGTAACAATGCATATCCTTGCTTATTTTACCCTCCCTTACAAATGCAAGGAGTTCCAGTGTTCTTTGGTAGCAAGTATGCCAAAGAGTTTCCTGGAACTCTTGATAGAGATCCCATAATGGTGAAAGATGATGTGAAAAAAATGCAATTTTTGCACAAAATCTGCCATTATTTTACACTACTTTGCAATATGTGCAATTCTGGGAATCACCACAAATGCTGCTTTATTTAAGAATCCATTGCACTAAGTGGATGTTTTCATCTTTCCTAATAATTAGGAACTCCTTCTGTGCTTGTTCTGTGTGTATATACACAGAAAGGGAAGGACCTGAGAGACATTTTACATAAGTTTTAAAAACCCTGATATATATAAGGTGTTTTTCCTGATATTCAACCGAAATCTGCCTTCCTGTAATTTGAGCCCATTGTTATGTGTCCTGCACTCTGGAATTATCAAGAACAGATCCTGTATGACAGTCCTTCAAGTATTTGAAAAGTGCTATCATATCTCCCCTCAGTCCTTTTTTCTCAAGGCTAAACATGCCCAGTTCTTTCAGTCTTTCCTCATCAGGCTTGGTTTCCAGCCCCCTGATCATTCTTGTTGCCTTTCTCTGAACTTGTTCCAATTTGTCAGCATCCCTCTTGAAGTATAGTGTCCATAAATGAACACAGTACTCAAGATGAGACCTACAGTGCCGAATAGAATGGAACTAGTTATAGCTTAGTTAATTTGAGGTACCAAAAAAGTGTTAAGTCTGTAAAAATTTATCCCAGAGCTGGCATAAATTCATATCACAATCCTGTTAAAAGAGCAAAAAGCAGAAACAGCATAGAAATGAAGCAACTACATTATCCAATCATAAATTCAGGAGGGGATTCATGAAGGCATCAAAAAGATTATCTGCTCAGCTCAAATGTCAGTACTACTTGCTGTAAAATGATAGAGATATTAATAGATGCTACCAAGAACAGCTTTAAAAGTAAACATGTTAATTTAAGTTTTTTTAAAAAGAAGGAGGTGATAGAAGAAATATAATGGAAGAAAGGTGAAAATGTTTCAGTTATGGTATTTTAGTCAGTGAATAAATTATCAACAATATCCTATATGGAGATAATATGGTGTTGATGCCTGTAAAGGTGGCTCAGTAAAGTCAGTGAAGTAAATAATTAACATGGTCTAAAAATGAACCTTAATAAAATTGAGTTCATGGCAATCAGTAAATAGCAAGCAACCCCAAAATTTTAGTTAAATATTCAGATTTGAAGAGTGTATTTACAAATTTGAACTAACAGTGAAATCAGACTATACAATAAACATCATAATAGAGATGGTCTGGAGCAGCTTTCTTAAGGTAAAAAAATGTAATATACAACAAGAATATAACATTGGCTTTGATAAGGCACATTGTGTAGGCTGTGTATTCTCATTTGTTTTGTATGGAATGGAATCATGAACTATTACACAGGCAGCTGAGGATAAGAAAAGACAGATGTGCTTGAAATGTGGATTTATAACAGTCCTCAGAATTAAGAGAGTGGACAATGACAAACAACTAAACCAAATGAATAAAGACTAACAAGTCATAAAATGAATAAAGTGCATAAAGCTGGAATACATCAGTCATGTAATAAGAAACCAAAAGTGCCAATTATTACAGTTGTGCATTCAGAGTAAAACTAAATGAGGGATAAAGGTAGAGGAAGGTGAAATATTTATTGGGAGGCTGTCTTAAATGGAGCATAACATTATTGTTTAGGAATGCCATGTCCAAAGTCAAATGAGTCATGATGATGTTGGACCTCTAGTAGGAGAAGAACAAGAAGTGTTTTTTGTGCTTCTTTTCAGTAAGATGTAAGTGGCTACCTTACTGAAAACACATGTGTCTTCCTTAACTTTTGGATGTGTACTCGTGATATCTGAAAATTACATTTAGATGTCAAATACTTGTTGGTATAACGTGGTGGCACTGCCGGTTAAACCGCAGAAGCCTCTGTGCTGCAAGGTCGGAAGACCAGCAGTTGTAAGATCGAATCCACACAACGGAGTGAGCTCCCGTAGTTTGTCCCAGCTTGTGCCAACCTAGCAGTTCGAAAGCATGTAAATGCAAGTAGATAAATAGGTACCACCATGGTGGGAAGATAACGGTGTTCCGCATCTAGTCACACTGGCCATGTGACCACGGAAACTGTCTACGGACAAACGCTGGCTCTACGGCTTGGAAAATGGGGATGAGCACTGCCCCCTAGAGTCAGACCCGACTGGACTAAATGTCAAAGGGAACCTTTACCTTATTTGTTGGTATGTCTTGGTAGGTTTGGGGGCAGTGGCAAAATCTTTCTTAGTTCATTGATACAGACAAATTTCGACATTCATGGAACTGAGGACACCATTGGGATGCACATGTCCTGTTGATTCTTTTCTTTTTTGTAGGCTCAGATGCTATTTTCTCAAGAGAACATGGCAGCTGTCAGTGTTGGATGTTCTAGCAGACTCAGCGGCCGATCCACCTGGCAATTTCTCCAATATGAGCCATACCCATAGCTTAATAACATTTGGATTGATTTATCACTCTGTTGCTTTTGAATCCACTCTACTGCTTTATCTTGTCTTTACAGCCTTAGCTTTCAATGTAGTTCAACACTTTTAAACTGATAGAGCTTTTGATATCATCTGGTAAATAAATCACATTAAACAAGACTTTTAAAAAAACTAGACCAGCAAATTGCTTTGGAGATTTTGTGAAAGTGTTCCAGCTCCACATTCTCAAATAGGCAGAGGTAAATGGGGAAAAATAGTATAGAAGGAGACAGAAGACTTTTTCACATCTATGCAGTTGTAGCCTTAAGTGTTTTTCTTGACTGTTATCGAGCGAAGACAATTAAGATATCTTGAAACTGCAGTTAGGGAAGCATGTATTGTTTCTCTAACTGTAGCAATTTGAAAAAAGCCATGTATTTATTTATTCTGGACATTGGCAAACATCAACATCCTCAACATGTTATACTTTGCTACCTGTTTCATTTTGTCACAGAAGTGTGGTGTAGTGGATAGAGTGACAAACTAGGACTCTGGAGACTAGGGTTCAAATCCTCACTCAGTCATGGAAACTTATTGGGAGAAGTGAACCTGGTAAAACCCGCTCCTTAAATATCTTGCTTACATTGAAAACCCTATTACGCTCACTATACGTCAATTTCAACTTGACAGCACAAAACAACAAATTACATGTAGCTGGACATTTAATTGCATTGTTTTCGAAAAGCAGCCTGACCATCTGAAAATATGGTTTAGATAGTTCCCCCGTACATTTAAATTCTGTGAAAATCTCTTTTTTCTAGCTTCTGTGCAACAGAATAAACTTCATATGGTGCCAACTGATATGCAACTTCTAGCAAATGTTGATGAGTAAGTAAACCCTAACATTTCTATTGAAGATTTGGAAAATAAGGAGAGTGATAATCAAAGATTATACTTTCTTACTGTCAGGAATGTGAAACTAAGGCTGTTGATTTGGGAACAGAGCCAGGAGAATTACGTTTTGCACTGTACTGCACAAGTGGAAGTTGTAACTCACACGTCTAAGCTATACCAACGAATATGTTTTATTGAACTTCCTGCTTTTGTCATTCAGTCACTGAAATCCTGTTGTGCAGATCCTAGTGTGCAACAGTGATTATGTAATTGGTAGCTGCAAATCACTCTGATTAACTTGTATACAATGCAACAAAGTTTCATGCACCCAGAAATTGATTTTGTTATATTGTATACAAGTTGTATGCATCCAAAACCATATTTTGACATCTGCATTTTTTCTCTGATAATGATTTCATCCCATTGTGCATGCTGATCTGTGCAACAGAGTTCCAGCCAATGTATTGAAGTCTTCTGCCAAGCCTTCTTGTTTTTAACCAAAATCTGGGACTGAACATGGGACCCTTTGCAAGTCAAACATGTGCTTTGCTACTGACTCATGCTCCAAGTCCAGGCTTCTGTTTTGTGTTTAAAGTGACACGAGATGTACTTAGCTATAGAACTGAATGTAAAGAAACGAAACCTATGCGATTTGTAGACAGTCACTGTCATAGTTGCCCTTTTCTGGAATGTTCTAAAGGAAAGACTTGACTGAAGAGAAAGAAGTCACAATTGAAGTATCCTCAGACACAAAGAAGGAGGAAGAATATAAGACAAATGTGTGGAAAGGATTCCTCATTTCAATTCCTTACGCTGCCAGTATTGGTGGAACAGCAACACTAACTGGAACTGCACCCAATCTCATTCTCTTAGGACAGCTAAAGAGGTATGGAGGAAGTAACCAGTGGGGATTTTAATCAGACTTTGCAATATACAGTTAAAAAAATTATTAGATTAATTTTGTAAAAGGGCCAAGTGCAAATATAATAGCAACTTAGTTTAATTAGATCCTAATTAATGTATTAAAGTTTAAAGTTTATTTAAGTTTAAACACTTTTAAATTTAAAGCATTTTTATTAATTAGGCATCCAAAAAATCAGAGCAGCCAGAATAAGGAGAAGAGGAAGAACAGATTATAGCAACATAGTCTTAAAATATGTTTTTTCATGATTGTTCATACTTATTCAGTGTGTGTCTGTCTCTGTCTCTCCCTGTGTGTGCATGCACGCATGCATTCAAGCATGTGCAAGATTCAGCTTGGGATTTGTGGCTCCTGTATGCAAAATATGTACTCTTCTGTTGATCTCTGTGTGTCATACTTCTTGATTTTAAGTGGGTGGAGATGCATTTATGAGGTAGAGCAGAAAAAAGGTCTCCATGTGGTCAGATGCAATCAAAATATTTCTGATTAAAAGTTCTCCGTGCTTGATTTACCAGCCATCAATTGTCGCTCTCAAGTCCTCTAGCTCAGTGGTTCTTAACCTTTGTTACTCAGGTGTTTTTGAACTGCAACTCCCAGAAACCCCAGCCAGCAGAGCTGATGGTCAAGGCTTCTGGGAGCTGCAGTCCAAAAACATCTGAGTAACAAAGGTTAAGAACCAGTGCTCTAGCTAACTAAACATTCCTTTCTTTATTAACCTTTTCAGTTCTTAGATTATTGTTTAGGGCAATATTTTCCAGGTGTGTTTGACTGTATCTCAAATCATATCTAGCCAATAATTGTGGAATTTGTAGCCCAAGGCATCTGGAAGGTGCCGTTCAGGCATATAAGGCCTGAAGCTTATGTATGCTAAGGACTCAACAGAATCTTATTGTAGTTTTATTATTTTCCAATATGTCTAGGAATCTGTGAGTGGAGGAAATTAGCAATTTTATGGTCTAAACAGGAGCAAGAAGGTAGGACTAAGAACAGGAAGGAAAGTAAAATGACATTGATAATTCATTTATATAGTACAGTAGGGTTTTTTCATACACAAACATGTGTGTATATAATAAAGTTTCCCTGCAAACTTGCTCAGATTTGGGAAACAAATCCTATTAATTTTTTAATTAATTACAGTTTATTTCATCATTTTTGCTGATACATATTAAGAGTTTCTCAACAGTATATCTGGAATGATTGTGTGACATGTTGCCCTTGGTTGTTGTTTGGATGTCTAGATCATTTCCCTGTCTTACATTATTAATCAGGAACCTTTCTGTTTCTTGAAGCTTTTTTCCAGGATGTGATGTTGTGAATTTTGGATCTTGGTTCGTGTTTGCATGTCCTTTGATGGTGCTCTTTCTTTTTGTTGGCTGGCTCTGGATCTCCTTCCTTTATGGATGCATTAGCTTAAGGTACTTTTATTTCTGACTTACTTGCTGTGTGGATTTCAAACTCTATAAGAATAAACATGTGGGGGCAAAAATTAGGGAAGCCAAAGGAAAATAATAGTTGTAAATTGTGCAGAAATAGAAAAAGTATTTCTGCAGAAATAGAAAATATTTGCAAAACCTTTGATGTGCATAAGAAATCAAGGAGGTACCAGGCATATTAAAAATGGCAATGCCTGCTGCTGATAAATGGTAGTAATTCCCTGATAGTTGACTTCAAGGGTAAGCCATAGTGTGGAATTACTGCAGAAGATTGCTCTTTAGAAGTAACAGAGTGCATTGTACTAAATGTCAATACTGAGCTGGAAATCTGAAAGGCAATCTGGCTGTCAAATACAGCAAAGCTCCTGAACTCAGTGGTGTTTTTGCAGAAGAATCAAATCTAATATAAAATGATGACTTAGACGTTTTCATGAATCTTTTCAATCTTATCTACAAAACAGACATTCTTCCTGAAATTTGGTTGATTTTTATTACACTACCCCACAAGTATTCTGCAGTAGTCTTCAGAATTTAACCAATTTCCTGCAATAAGATGTGTTCGAAGATAAGGTTTCCTTTTTTAAAAGCACTCGTTGTCTATTTGAACTGCATATGTTATTCTCACAGCAGTTCCTTGTGAGCAGGCAACTGTAGAATCAAATGTTCCGGGGAAGGCACAGTGTTTATTGCTTTCCAGGGATTGTGTTCATGCTGCATTTCTTTTACAGTTTTAGTTGTAAATGTGTTTTGGAAATTTATTTTGGAACATGTTACATTTGACAAGGATCACACTTCAGTGATCTCATTACACAATGTGTTAATTGGTAACTGAGCTGTAACATTGTTTTATTGTAAATATATTGCTAATGTGCATACTTACGTCCTCTTAGTCTCTGTGGATTCTTTTGTTGTAATCAGAGGCACTGCCGATTAACTGTTAGACTTGTACAGCCAGTTTTGTTTGTTTGTTTTAGTTTATAGACATAGATAATTTATTTCTATGTGCACATTAGCCTCTTATTTTGTTAATACATATCTCTGACATTCTGAAACCTCCTTTCAAATTTGCAAAACTATATCAATATGAGCAAATGTGTGATTATATAGAAATCCCTACTTTTTCCTACCATTTGAACGAATCACAACTTCAAGGCTGCAATCTAGATCATAGCAGAATAATGCATCCTTATGTGCTCATCAAGCAGTCCATGCCAGGCAATGTCATTCTCAAGATGATGATGTTATTCTCGAAGATTCTTGGACAGATTTTGTGAATCAGGTGGCCCTTTAGATAGCCAAGCTTTGTGGCATAGTGATTAAACTGCAGTGCTGCAGTGAAGACTGCTCACAACATGAGCTCATTCATGTAGCCGGCTCAAGGCTGACTCAGTCTTCCATTCCTCCAAGGTTGGTACAAGCTCACTAGGAGGGGGGACAATGTGTAACCTACATAATTGTAAACCACTCAAAAAGAGCTTTAAACACTATAAGGCAGTATATGATAGAAATAGAAATTGGATTTGTAGTGATTTGTATTGCATCTGCATTCATTTTAAAAGTCATGTTTTTCTGTCTTTGAACTCTTTGGATTTATTTTCATCCTTGGGCTAAATCTAATGTTAGTTCAACAAAAGTAGAACTATTGAAATCAGTGGAACATATGCTGTTTGTGCCTATCATGGTCCATACATTTCAGTGGCAGAAATCCTGTTGCTTAGTGTAATATGTTGCAACTAGAGTAGGCCCTTTGAATCACTGGAACTTATGGATGAGTTGACTCAACTATTTCCCACTGATTCAATTAAACAATAGTTGATACTATGATAAGAAACAGTATTGCAGCTAGTAGGTCTGTCTAGTGGGGACTAACATTGGATTCAGCCATTTACCTTTGGTTTGTTATGTATTCATTTCATTTCAATAATTTATTTAGGATATTTCTAGAATTTTCCGAATTAATTCAACAACCATAGAGCCTTTTGAAACCTTAGCTATACAGTATATCTCACTTCCTAACCAGTGGCTCCTAAAGATAAAAACAAAAATGTAATTTCATGAAAACAATACAATCAACCTTAAAACTTTAAACATCTGTGAAAACAGAACATAGGGACCACATCTATCAAGAACTGCAAGGTCAACGTTTCTCTTAAAAATAATGACCTTATCCTACTGACAAGATACTGTTTATCATTCCTAAACAATTCGGCAAGGGAATCTGTTTCAGTCAAAATTGTGAATGAGCCAACACTATTTGATAGGGAAGCATGTGAACTTGGTAATGTGTGAACAAAACATTTTCTCTCCCTTTTCATGTTGTCAAAACAGCTGGAGAAAGAAGAAACCGGAAATCAGAGCTGATGCAGAAGCCAGAGCCAAGGCAGTAATAACAGAGGACTATCGGAAACTGGGACCAATAAAGTAAGTCATAGTGAAAAGAATGCAAGAATGCAAGAAACAAACAAGAGAGATAAAAATATCAGGGATGGAAGAAGCAACACTCTATCAAGAAGATAGAGTTTTAGTGTATTCTTCCATTGCACTTAGTAATATAAGACTGGTCAACCTAAGTGAGACCAGAAGCCCATTTCACTTTGCCCTCTGTCAAGAAAAGGATGAGAAGCCTTGAAAAAGTTTGATTCTAATACAGTACTTAGTTTCCCCCACATGTAAATTGTTTTTTCTTCAATTTCAGATATTAATTTGTGCCATTTATTACTCAGTTCCTCAGGCTTAGGAACAAAATAATCACTGTAAATTGGCCAAAGAAAAGCAGCCTGGATGTAACTATATCACTGGCAGATGGTTAAATCCCTTTCAAGTATTTCTTAGATGGGCTTGGGATGTTTCTAGCTCTTTCTAATAGGAAGAGAAAAATCCTGAGCCATTCTCCTTTTTGATTCCTGCACAATATTCAGTTTGAAAGTCCTGAGCTGATTGTGTTGGAAATATTATGCATCAAATGATCTTTGTGTCTCTTTGTTGCTTTTGTCAATTTCAGTTTCTTACGTTGGTCCCTTTCAGTTGGTGGTGTTGAAATTGACCAGAGTAAGAGCCTTAAGTCAGCAAGAGCAGTAAAAAGATTCAAACATCCTGTGAAGGCTAATATTTCAGGCACAATTCTATTGAGTATTATACCAGACAATATAGATAAGACAAAGAAATACTTAGTTATATACATAGTCACTGCAGCCAGAATTCTTTATGCCAAGAATTGGCAGAAATCGGTGATACCGGAACAAGAGGAACTTATTGAGAAGATACGGGAAGCGGCAGAAATGGATATCTTATCAGAAGTGGTGAAGGACTGTCCAATACAAAAGGCAACTGATTGATGGGGTTTATTATATAAATGGCTTGAAGCACCAGATAGTACTTGAATAACATAGATTAAAACTAGCATGTAAATGTAAGTTATAACCTGGAGGGCAATCATATAGTAGAAAAGTAGAATGTTGAGTTGATGTGGCAATATGAATAGATTGGATGGCAGTACAGTTTGTGTTCTCCTCCCCCTATTTACCCCCCCCATATACCCCCTTTACCTTCTGTATCCCCTACCTTATCCTAAATTGTTAATTAAATAAATATATATATATATTTCAGGCACAAGTAGTAGCACAGGTCTTTTAGACTGAATATTGTATAGGAAACCAATGAGAAAGGCTAAAATGTTTTTATCTTGAAGCAGGGGGGCAGGGCAGACCAGGAGCATGATCATACATTCAATATACCACATGACATAGTGTAATAATGCAACATAACAACAAACTGGATATCACAATGCAGAAATAATTGGTGTGGTGGGGGAGGGAGGGAGAACTGCAATTGTTACCTGGGTGAGTTTGCCTCTGTAGAACGAGAATCATCACAACCTCCAGTGTAGAGCTTAGAAATATTACTATTTTGGATTTAAACTCTGAGGCATTCAGGGAATTGTAGCCTGAAGACAGTAATTTTTCCAAATTCTAGTTGAATTCCTTCTTTCATTTTTTAAAAAATGCTACACAGTTGCTCGAATACAACTCAAGAAAATTTAGCTCAAAGTATACCCTTGGAGCAGATTTCAAACTGCTACATCAAGTTGTAACTTTGCAGTTTACTGTGTGTCGTCTAATTACCTTTCGTAAATTATTTAAGCAAGGAACAGAATCATTCTCTAATTAGCCAGTCCACTGAGTTTTGAAAATGTGTAAGTGCAGTGTGCTCCTGAAGCGTCCTGCAGACAAGTAAATGACGGCCACAGAACTTCATGAATAATTGTATGATTATGAGAGCCAGAAAAAAAAGTTTTGTACAGAAATTAAGAGGATTTGGCTTCATAAATTATTCATTGTAGATCAGGCCTTTTCCTTTCATAGTTAGCCGAATTCTTAAAAATACACCTTCAACAGCTAGTAGTTCCCTTTTTATATTTGAGAATATGTATTTGTCAGTACACACCAAAATGTAGATTGGCAAAGACATGCTGAAAAGGCTCCATATTAAATCTGTACTCTCATTAACAGTGGTTGTGGGTAGCTAGTGTTTTCATTAGTCTTCATTCAACCAGAGTGAACAAACAATAACCTTCTTTAGGTAAATTGTGGGGGATTTTTCTAAACCCATGAGAATTTCAGTATATAAAGGGTTAGCAGTACGTCCAGCAGAGGGATGGGGTTTAGAATTATAAGGAGAGTTTGATGTTACATGCATTGCATTTCTTGAACCCACTGAGAATTCCAATGCCTACTCCACAAATGGCACCAACTTAATGACATCTGGAGTGTGTCATTTTTGCTTCTCAGTGGGAAAAGGAAATGGGCAGTTTCTTGTCATGATAAATTACATGGGCTGGAATAGTAGTAGTTGCAACTGGCGATGGGCACAAATTGTCTTAGCACAATGAACACTAACACTTGCATAACTATTAGGGCTTATCTAAATTTACATTTGCACGTCCTCCCATAGGCTCTGTTCTAAATGGATTCAATTTAAAATCCCATGACTATTTGAAATGCTGTTTGCATTTCCACCTGGGAGATGGCCAGCAACAGTGGCCTCTGTGTGAGGTTGTGTGTTTGCGTCTCATCCCCCCTAACCCCCCCCCAGAAAAAACCATAGAGAAAGGTCAGTAATAAATACTAAACAGGGTGCATCCTAGGGGACATTCTGGTTGGGATGTGCTTCTCCCCCCATCTTTTCCTCTCCCTTGTCCTCCTCTTTATGCCCCTTCAGTCTCTCTCTGTCTCTCTCTCTCTCTCACACACACACACACACAGATACACCTGTACACATGTGTGTGCACACACACTCCTGCCTGAGGAGCCTGGAGAAAGTGCTTGGCTTCCCTTTTCTCACTGCCCATCACTGTTGTTTGCTGATCAATCTTGCCCTTCTCCCCACTTCTCAGAGGCCAGCAAAAGCATTCTTAAAGGGACAGAAGTAGCCAAGCTTTTTGCAAACAACTTTGCCAGCACACATTCCCTCCTTCCTTCCTTCCTGCTGCCTCTCCTATCGCTTCTGCTAGTTATTCTGTGGTGCAGTTTGCAGCAACAGTGGTGCAGAAATGAATAAAATAAATTGGGTTTCACATGCGTACTATTTTAAACAGTGCTCTAGCTTACATTCCTATCTTTTGGACTTTATTTTAAATGTAATATAAGAAGGATGATATAAAGAGGGAAAAATTAGAAAATCAGTGGGGCCTGAACATATCCACAAAACAACTGATAAAACTTTCGGTGTTCATAGATTGTTATAAAACAAATTAGTTTGCTGCTTATCCCTTTAAGTCATTACACCCCAGGAATCTGCAAATAGTTGCTGGAAGAATCGAAGACTTTTTTCATTCCACGAGCAAAGAAAATCCATTAACCCAGCTACTGCCAATTTGATTAGAAGGTCCAGATTTCTATCAAATGGTTTTTGTATCGCTCTTCCCTTAAATCTAGAGATGGGGCTTTGCCTGTGACATGCTCTCAATCTTTGCAAGATGCAAATGCTTGGGAAGAGTAAAGCATAATGCATTCACTTGCAAGGCATTTCCTCATCTGGTCCTTTCTTCAGTATTGAAAGACTAAAATTTTCAATGATTCTTGATATGAATTTCAATTTGTTTTCAGAAGACTCTAAATCCGCCTAGAGTGGTCTTATAGGCCAGATGGGCGGGGTATAAATCAAATAAATAAGTAAATAAAGTCATGTTAAATGTCATTTTCCACCTTTGGAAATGATGAGTTTAAATATGGAGAAAGGGGAACGGAGCTGAGCCCACTTTCTAATGCCTGACTGCTATATACTGTAAGTGTATAGGATTGCACATGGAAATAGAAAACCAATAAAATGCAGGATCTCTGACTACATTTCAAGAGGCTCTTTATCCACCCAGCTGATGAACACATGGAGGCTGGGGACAAGATCAGTGAGGATGCTCTAAATATACAGTACCCATTTCCATGTATTTTTCCCCATGTACAATGAATCATGGGGACAGATTTACTTGAATGCCTGAACAGAGCCCCTGTGTGTTCTGCTACATCGATTCTGTCCATGAAGTTAGGTACCCTGTATATGCCAGATGTAGAGCTGGCTGAACAGCTCAGTGAGTTAGGTATCTGGCTGTGGAATCAGAAGTTTGGAGTACCTCCTGGGGAAAAAGCCAGCCTGTGTGGCCTTGGGCAAACAACAGAGACCCAGAACGCCCCTAGGAGAAGGGAGTGGTAAGCTATGTCTGAATATTTTATATCTAAAAAAACCCTTGCAAAGATTCAACATACGTTGGAATTGTCTTTATGGCATACAATTAACTTCTATGTGCCAATTTACAGGTGGGGGCTTGGTTCAAATAAAGAAGCATAGATCAGGAGAGGAGGCTCTACCTCACAAACTCTCAGTGCTGGTGCTAGGTCAACACATTCTGTCACCTGAAGCACAGAATACGATGATGTACCTCTGAATTCCATATAAGGAAACAGCTGGATGGTCAGTTAAATCTTACTTTAATCTGCCGGTGAGATAATATCTTTCCTCGCACTCAAAGATGGCACATTAGCTTATAGGACACAGAACTGGCCATCTGGCACATACAACTTCTGTTCTCAAAACAAGGGGGTTGGCTTGAGATCTCAGGTAGAACAACCAGGGGTTTCTATAGCTACATGCTGATGGTGTCTGAAATCTGTCCCCCAAGGCATTTTTCTCACTCTTGTTAACTTTAGGGCCTGTCCTGCTCACTATGTTCATATACAGATTTGAGCCTGAAAAACAGTAGCTGTTGCCATAGACAGTTTGAGACTAGAGCAGGGGGATCAGTCTTCAGAAATCTGAGGATGATGCTCTCTACTGTGTCAGTCCATAAACTAGCCCTGAGCAATAGATCAGTTTTATTGCATTCATTTAAAATGCAATAAATATACAAACATTTATTGGTAAACCTTGTGTATATTCCTATTGCATGCTGTAGCAGTATATATTTTGCTCAAGTTGTAATTGTTTGTGGAGAACATTTTAAGCTACAGCTCTCATAATCCCCCAGCTAGCGCTATAGCTTTGGCTCAGGGATTCTGGGATCTGTACTGTGCAAAAGTAACTTCTCCAGACTCTGCCTTCATTGATGCTGAGATATTGTAAAACAAATTTTCCCCATTCCCACTGGAGCTTGAATAGGATCATCATGGCAATGTCTGCCCACATTTCCTCCTTTGATAATAGAAGAGATGGTATTATTCAGTTGTAAAACATGTACTGTATTTTTCCATTTATAAGACGACCCAATGTATAAGACGACCCAACTTTTCTAACCCAAAATTAGAAAGTTTGATCCTCACAGAGCTTAGCAAAAGGAAGGGAAAAGCAGGGATCAAAGGGCTCCCTTTGACCGCCGCTTTTCCTTGTCTTTCGTGAAGCCACGGGGCTTAGCAAAAAGGAAGGGAAGGCTCCCTTCGGGTAATGCATCCATGAAAGGGCTGCATGATCACATACCTTTGATCCTGAAGCCCTTTCATGACTACGGGGCTTAGTAAAGCGGCTGCCTTCCGTGTATAAAACTAATTATATAAGGAAAAAATGTTGTTTTATACCCAGAAAAATAGAGTGTCTTTTCCTCATCTCTTCCTTTAAGAAGAAGACAAAGACTGTGTTTTGGTTTGATGCAGTCAGTTTCCATTCACAATTCATAGTACCTTCAATTTTATTCATCTTCTCATGCTTCTATTGATTGAACTTGAACTTACCCACAAGCATTACTGAACAAAATAATATATACATTTCAATGGCTCACTGCATTTCTTTCCACTGCAGGTTTGCTGAACAGGCAGTATTTGTTCTTTTCTGCTTATTTGCCATCCTGCTATTCTCCAGGGACCCTAAATTCATTACAGGCTGGGCAAGTTTATTCACTCCAGGGTAAGAATTTTCTTCTGGTGTATTTTTCCGGTGCCTACATTTAATTACTTACACTGTTTCACAGTGTTCCCCAGCATTGATGAAACCACTAGACTAAAATCTCTAGGTTGAAGCCATCAGATTAGATGCTTTCACATCTGTTCAGACATTCTTGGCATTTTAATTGGTTATCTGCCAAGCGAAGGCAATTCTGACATAGTGGTAATGTGTATGGCCTTCCAGTTCACATGTATTCATGGAACTCCCAGAAACAACCCCATAAGCCTGTGTGTGGAAACAGATGAGGGAACAGATGAGGGAACTGTTTAGGGCCTGAAAATCACCACTGTTGGTCCCAGTCCTGTTACTGGCTAAATTTGCATAATGCTAAGCAGCAGGACTCCTGCCATTGTGTCTGCTGGAGTGCAATGTGCACACAAAGTAAGCTAGCATGCCGTTGTGTAGTTTCCTTGTGGCTCTGTGCCTCCCCCAATTCCTTGGGGGACATTCTTGGTCATAATTGGTATCAAAAACTGAAAGCAACAGCACTTGAATGAATCATTGGCACAGCCATAAGAGTGTGTTTACATGTTTTTGCTTAATGAAAACCAAGGATTATCTAGAAGGCACATCATATATCTATCTACACTAATTCAATCAAATATTTGTATGTGTCTGCACCATTAACATTTTACAGTTAGGCTCACTGTCTTCTAAGTTCTTTATGAGTAACTCGTGGATCCTCTCGGCTTGGGGCAAATGTGGTTAAGGAGCCAGAGGTCATGAGTTCTATTCTCCACTGAGCCTCCTGCAAGTAGAGCCAGCCTGTGAGGCCTTGGGCAAGCTGCACAGTACAAGGAAGCCCCCAGAAGAAGGGAATGGCAAATCACTTCTGTGTTGTCTCTAACTAGAAAACCCTGAAAAACATCGCCATAAGTCTAAATCTACTTGATGGCATGCAATTATTATTTATTAATTTACAGGAAACATTTAAGAACATTCTCAGTAAGTGTTCCTGTGGCTTGGTGTACAATTATAATGTCCTTTGACAAAACATTATTCCCTTCCACCACTTACACAGGATTCTTTTTTCTTTCCTGGTAGGTTTGTGACGGATGCTGTTACTGGGGTGTCAATTGTGACAGTGTTGTTCTTTTTCCCATCAAAAAGGCCGTCTCTTAAATGGTGGTTTGACCTCAAAGGTAAGTTGCTGGTCTACCAAACTTTGGACTCAGTTCTTGTTTTCTGTTTCTGTGGAACTGATAATCAAAAACTAGGCTTCAACAAACACTGTGGATGAGCTGACAAGGTTGCAGTTCCTGGTCCATTCACCCCTAGGGGTGGCTAAGAATTTTTCAACAGAAAACATGGGGGGATAGCAGAGGAGAAAGGGGTTGATCTGCTGGATGATGCTTCTCTGATGGGAACCACGACTGTGCACTGGCAGAGCTTTAGAAAGATCATTTTTTAGAGTACCAGCCAATCTCGGGATCAGCGGCCATGCTTGCTGGGAAATTCAGGGATGACAATTCTATTTTAAACAACAACCTTTTCAAGATCTGTTTAAGGTACAGTTTCTCTTCAGATTTCTACCTTGGAAACAGATCTTTTTGGGAGTGTTTTCTCCCTCGTCAAAGGTCACAGATGCTCTAACAGTTTGTAACCTCCTCCTCTGTCATTCCTTTCTGGTGGTAACTTCTTAATGGTACCTCTTTGCACCTGTGCCATAAAGTACTTTGGGCTACAACATGGATCAACGTGCTCACATACAGCTAGATCAGAGTGGGCCAGCTGTAGCCCAGGGGCGATATAATGTCTTCCAAGGTTAGTTTTGCAGCCTCTGATATCCTACAAAATGAGGCAGAGGGCTTACAAAAAGATCCTAAAGCAGAGGAGTAATGCTTTGTAAAATATCATAAGCAGAGCAAAGATTTTGATCCTGGCTTTGCTTGGAAAAAGAAACCAAATCAGGAGTCATATGCTTTGATTTCGGACAGGAGTAAGCAATGAATTTTTTATCGTCGAAAAGGTAATGTTCAGTTCCTCAAAGCCTCCAGGAACTGTGGTCTGGTAATCAAATGAGGTGCAGAAACCCATATCTCCTATCCCAAGCTCCCTGTCCAATGAAGAATTGGGGGGGGGAGGACTTTGGGTAATGTTTGGCTTGGATTTTTCATAATGAGAGTGGAAAGCTTCCCCTCAGGCCCTTTGCAATTGACTGGACAGAACTTTTGTATAGAGATGACATAATGGAGTCTAATTCCTACAAGATGATGTTCCATGTTCCTTGGTCAACAAAGCTTGCTGACTTCAGTAATGCCAAGGTTCAATGCTGTCCTTCCCTTTGCCTGTTAATAGGACCTCTCTTGCACAATAGGATATCTTGCTTTGCAACAGCCCATTTATGAGCTTTTTAACGGATAAGATCTCAGCCCTTTTTTTTGCCATAAATCTTACAATCTTTGAACTGTCGGTAGAAAATTAACACTGCAGATCCAAAGTCCAAGCAAAGGTGTGGGGGAAATGCCCACCTAATGTCAGCAGATCGATGTTCAAGTGACACATGTTCACAGATACTGAGTTGTTTGACACACTTGACAAAAAGCAGATACATAAACTAGTGAGAAACCAGTTCTGCAGGCTTTATTGTCAGGGTCACTATAGACCTCTTATAAGGGTTCAGGCAAGACACACACATACCCATTTTCTTCATTCCTAGACTAGTTATATCAAATCAGTTAAAGTTCTCTTTCTACCTTTGCAGTAGGCAGTTAATTCATATGCTACAACCCATAGTTTTATAGATATTTGGTTTTTTTATGTAGCCGAAGCTCTAATACATCGTATTTCCATGTCCTTTTTTCAATGCTTTACATCAGAGATGAGCAACTTCCTAGGACTGGGGAGCTGCATACTGCCTGCAACTATCAAATATGTACCGATAGATAGATAGATAGATAGATAGATAGATAGATAGATAGATAGATAGATAGATAGATAGATAGATAGATAGATAGATAGATAGATAGATAGATAGATAGATAGATAGATAGATAGATAGATATAGAGCTATAGATATAATATAGATACTGTAGATAGATAGATAGATAGATAGATAGATAGATAGATAGATAGATAGATAGATAGATAGATAGATAGATAGAGAGAGAGAGAGAGAGAGAGAGAGAGAGAGAGAGATTTTACCTTTAAAACAAGGAGCATATTCCCCATGCACCTTATTTACTGGTCGACTAGTGTTTCTGAGGCTTCTTAGAGCATGAATATGCTGGTGACCATGGTGCACAGGGAGCATGTACCTTTGTTCAGAGGAGAAAATTGTGCCATTAATAGTGAAATGAAGCTACTTTTGAGGCAGGAATCAAAGAATTTAAACATGGCAGAGGGGATGGATAGGGTGCAGGTGGCCTGCATTTGTATGTTGTCCAGCTGTGCTTTACAAGGGGCTAATCCTTTGGAGTTGTGCCAGGGTCTTTCTGTATTAGTGTCTCATTTTAAGACAGCATTCCCCAACCTTTTTCGGAATGCGGACCGGTTAGGGGGTGCTGGCTTCCTGCGTGGCCTGGTTGAGGGTGGGGGCACCCCCATGCTTACAGGTGGGCGTGTTGCACTTGCGGAGGGGCATGTTGAGCTTGTGCGCATGTGTGACATGCCCCTTGTGCTCGTGAGTGACACACCCACCTCTTGGGCAACCAAGAGGTGGATGTGTCCTCATGAGTCCAGGCTCATGACCACCACCGCCTCCTCGCCTTCCCTGTAACCAGCAGCGGCTCAGCTCTTCACGGCTGGGGGCCAGGCAGTGTGGCAGGGACCACTGCTTTGTGAGAGCTGAGACGCTGCTGGTTGCAGGGAGATCTGGTGACCACTGCCACCAGATCTCTTTGATCAAGGTGGAAGGGTTGCAGAGATTGAGGTAGCAGCAGTGGAGGCTGGCCTGGCTTGTCTGTAGCACCCGCTGGTGCTCCAGGACCACCACCTTGGCTGCATACTCGGCCAAGAAGGCACAGAAGCCCTCGTCCCAGAAGGCCTGGCTTTGGCGCTCCACCAGTCCGCTCGAGGTCCTCCAGGCTCGAGCGGGCTGCCATGGTGAAGTCGCCTTCCCTCCGCTCAAGGCCGGGCTCACCCAAGAGGTGTGTCACGCGCGAGCATGAGGGGCATGTCACACTTGCGCACATGCGCACAAGCTCAACACGCCCACCAGCAAGCATGACACGCCCCCTGTGTGGTGGTGATCCCTGTCCGTGGCCCAGTTCAAGGCAGCCCACGGACCGGTACCGGGCCGTGGATCGGGGTTTGAGGATCCCTGTTTTAAGATGTGTGGTTAGCATTTGGCCACTGGCTGATATTCATGCACTTCAACGAGGGCCACCCACTTTCCCCTGCAGCCCAGCATGCCATCAGCTGGTTGGTAGGGAAAAGAAAGTTCCCTGGCTACTGCCATTAGCAGCCTCCAACCAGAGATTTTGGAGGGGTTTGCAAAGAGGGGTGGAGGTGCTAACCTGTCCTTGTAGTGATTTTTTTAAATCACTGGAGGTAAGGAGGCTTAAATCTTCCTATCCCACCCATTCCATGTCAATGCACAAAGATGTTTATGCAGATATGTCAGTGAATGGAGGGAAATGTTTTTTTTTGTTTATGCTCACACATGTGCAACCCCAACCTAGAACCTTACATGATCCTCATCTGTTGTCTTTCTTAGTGGCTTTCTAAACATATGTATGCACTTATGCACTTACATCTCTGTCTTCATTTTTTTAAAAATTGTGTTGGGTGTTAACATGATCATTTTTAACAAGCTATAAACTCTCAGAGTGCTGCACCTATGCTCTTCTGTATTTTCATGTTCATGCTTCTGGACCTCATAACAAAAAGTCATAAATTTCTGCAGTGGAAGATATACTCTTGCACAAGAATGTCTTATTAGCCAGTGAATTTGTTCGTTTTATCCAAATTTTAATTTGATATATTTAAAAAATACTAAATCCTGAAATGTGGCTCTTATTAGCCATATTTACCTCTTCATGTACAAATATGAAAAAAATGGAATTTGTGAGACTGACTTTTATAAAAAAAAAAAACATTTGGTAGTTTGTATTAGGCTGTCCAATGAGTTGTTCCAAAACCAATACAATGGATTAAAACCAAACTAACAATTATGAATGTACTTAGTTGAAAAATAACATAAGAGTTCAGCTCTTAAACTATTATCACAAATATTGCTAATCCTTTTTTTTTCTTAACTCTCTTTGTTTAGCCCCAAACACTGAGAATGAACCCTTGTTGTCCTGGAGGAAAGCCCAAGAATGTGTACCTTGGAATATAATCCTGTTGCTTGGAGGGGGTTTTGCTATGGCCAAGGGATGTGAGGTATGCCTGTTTGAATGTCCCTTGTTCCCAGTTTTCCAAAGGCAATGATTTTCTGAAAGCATTGTTGGCATTTTTATAGAGCTGGGAAATGTTTGGTGTTTTTTGTTTTTACTATTTGGCCCAGAATCGCCTAGTCAACACAGTATGCATAAATGTAGTCAAAGGAGAATCCAATCCAAATTAGGACTAGAGTTTTAGAAACCATCCTCTAACATCACAGTCTTGATGAAAATTACTTCCGTAATTGTTGTTTGCTGAGACATGTCAATTAGTGCTTGTGCTGAAAATTTCTGTCACAAGAGTTTTAACCATTCTCCTTCAATTTGGTAGAAAATAAATTCTCTTAGGAAAGACTTTGAAAAGAAGAGAAATTTTAGAGAGTGCTTATTGCTAAGGTTCAGGATCCTTGTGCTTGTTTTACTCATGAGATGACAGAGGCAAGTATGCGCATGTTGTGTCTTGTACAATCATTTCATGGCAGTCTATCCCCCATTTTCCAAGAGGTAAAGGGACCAGGCAGGATTTAACAATGACAGAATCTTCTGTGTAACTTTCTAGATTTTTTTCTCTCTTATAGGAGTCTGGCTTATCTGTCTGGATTGGTGGTCGCCTTGACCCACTGGAGAACCTTCCTCCCCCTATTGCTGTTATTCTTATCACAATCGTGATTGCCATGTTCACAGAATTCGCAAGTAACACAGCCACCATCATCATCTTTTTGCCTGTCTTGGCAGAACTGGTAAGATAAACATGCCTACTTTCAACCATACAGCAGTAGCTTCGCTGCACCAGTGCAGATTTTTTGTTTGTACAAATGAAGTTGACATTGGGTGAAATCCTGATGCTTAGCCCCATTGAATCAGTGGGGATTTAGTAAGTCAACTCCTCCATAAATTCTGTTGATTCAAATAAACCCACTCTAGTTACAATTTACTATGCTAAAGGTTCAAGGGAAATCATCTTGTGGAAGCATGTCCAGAAACTCTGCAAGCTGGTCTTTCAAGAACCTCCTTAGACACCTGCAACTGAGCTAATAAATCAAAGTGCCTAATCTCCCATGCACCCTGTCTTCTTTGTGTTCTTTTAAGGCTATTCGTCTGAAAGTTAATCCCCTCTACTTAATGATACCAGGAACTATAGGATGCTCATTTGCTTTCATGCTTCCAGTCTCCACTCCACCAAATTCAATTGCCTTTGCTTCAGGACACTTGATGGTGAAAGATATGGTAAGCTGGGTTTTTTTACAGTAGGCACTACTGGTAGTTTAATTATCCAAAAAAGAAGAAAGCATATATATAGTGACATTATGCATAGAAGCATAATTCATTTGCAGCATCTCCCATCACCATTATTCCTATTCCATTTACATGCTGTGCATAATAGAAAATTGAGAATGGTTTACAATGAGCAAATGAAATATCATTACAACATCAGTACAGTTAAATTTGCCTAAATCAAAATGATACCAATTGGATGTAGGCAGTGATAAAAGATTTTCTAGATCTTGCATACAGATATTTTTGGAAATTCAAGGATGATTTACAAGAACTGAGCAGGACAGTTGAGGACAAGATACAGTATTTTGGAGATCGCTCTTTCATAAGGTTGCTTTAAGTCAGAGGCAACTTGACAGCATTTAACAACAACAAGAACAAAAAGATATGTGCAAATAGGACTTAATGAAGGATTTTTTTTTGTTTTTGTGAGAATGTCTTTTAGTTTGGGGTGGGTTTCATTCATATTTCCATTCTAGATAGTAGGTATTTTCATTTTCTTCTTGTTGAGGATGGTCATCCGAACCTTCCTCTGGGCAGGTATGAAGTTTTCCAGCCTCCTTTTAACAATTTTTAAAGAAAAACAAGCTTTGGTTCAACACAAAAGCAGCAAATTTTTCTGTTTGCATTTGAGGTTTTCTGGTGGAAGCTGAGCTGCCTTGCTTAGAGATGCAGTCACTCAACAAAATGGAAAAACCTGTGCCTGCCAGGGAATAGATAGAGATTAGGTAGACAAGCGCTGTCATTCAGGATAATGCAGAGACAAATTATTTCTGTAAGACTTGAATATGCCTCATTTTCTGGATTGGATCCATGATTTTCCCCAGATTGGTATGTGAATGTGCATTGCAGGACATAGAAGCCTGCTTGCACCCAACTTAAAAAAAGAATAGCAGGGTAGCTGTAGTGTTGACCGCTGCTGTGTCAAGGCTAGAGATGGGCACAAGTTAATTTGTGCCGCTTTGTACAAAACAAGCAGGTGCCGCACAGACCCACCTTCCACCCTCTGGGCTGGCTAGCTCAATCACCATCTGTTGTGCACCATGAGGGGCCTCCTTCTCTGGTGGCACTCCAGTCTAGGAAGGAGCTCATGCTGTCCTTCTCTGCCTCCTCTAGCAGCCAACCACTCTGTCTGGGACTCAGGATAGGGATTCTCCCTGGGCAGCCAAAGATGGTCAGCTGCTAGAGGAGGCAGGGAAAGGCAACATTAGCTCCTGCCCAGACTGAAGCACCACCAGAGGAGGAGGAGGACCCTGGTGGGGCACAATGGCTGGTGAGTGAGCCAGCCAGCCAGCCTGGGGAGTGAGGGGAGGGTCCACACAGCACCTGTGGTTCTGTGCAGCTTGCTTCATACAAATTTGCACAAATTAATTCAGGCCATCTCTAGTCAGAGCCAATCTGGACTTGATTTCAATTGTGTGAAAGTGGTTAATGGGGAGCTTTTCTTCTCTAAATAGTAGCTGAGGAGACATGATGGACAGAGAGAAAAATTAAACCGAGCTTTCCTTGAGGAGCAAGTAGCAGCTTCACAAAGGCTCTGATTTCTCAGTGGCTGTTTTTTACATAACAGCACTGGTAACAACAAAATATTCACATTAAGGGCATCCCCGTGATTAATATCACTACTACTTTGATTCCTCTGTGTGGGATAAACTTCTGTTTTTTCTGTCTGCTCTGTCCCAAAGAATGGAATAAAGGCAATAGCTATTTCTTAACATTGTATTCCTTTATACTGAATACACAAGGAGATGCTCTTCTACACAAGTGCACTTTATTCTACAGTTTATGTTCTGGAGGACAGAATTTAATAAAATTTAAATTTGCCCTCAAACAACTTACTGTATTCTGCTTCAACAACAATAAACTGTGGTATCTCCTAGGAATAATTTGCCCACAAACTTGTACTTGCTGCATATGTTTATGTATTGATTACATTTTGAAGCCATCTGGTTACAGTGGTACAAACAGTAAAACGTAAAGTACAAAGTAAGAATAAAATAATACCACATGTTCAGTGAAATGCAGCAGCATGTCACAAAATCGAAACTAAAACCAGCAGCCAAAATAAAGCAAGATAATGTCAAAGTGTTAAAAATAAATAAGCTCCCGGAATGTCCGGGACAATAAAAACATCTTCTCTTAGTGTGAAAAAGGTCATCATGCAGGCACCCTCCAAGGCTCTCTAGGAGGACATTCCACAATTAGGGTGCCAGCACTGAAAAGCCCTCTCTCGTGCAGCCACCTGTCCTGTTTTATTTATACAGTAGTACAAAGAGTAGTTGATTCACTGGGGCTGATTAACTGAGCCTTTAGGCAGTGCCGAAACTGTTGCTTTTTCAGGTGTAGTAAAGTTTGCTCAGATATGTAACACTGGAAAAGTTAATCCTCCTGTTGGCAACCATCCATATTTATTTGATCCAAAGTACAGAATGCCACCAGGGAACTAATTGCACCGTCACCCTAGTCAAACCTTGTTAGTTTGCAAATTTGTGTGACCTGAGGACATAAGCTGATCCCAGCCTTGTCTTCAAAGAGGCTGAAAACAGAAATTTACTGGAAGTTGAAATTGAATTCCTCCACTACATCCAATGCTGCAAAAAAGAGAGAGTCTGGGAAGGTTATTTTTGGGGCTCCTGAAATCTCCCAGCAAGCATGGATGTTGGTTGTACTATGAGATCCTAAGAATTCGAATCCACAGAAGGAACTTTTCCAGGATCCAAGAAAGCTCTTTCTCTTCTTATTTATTTATGTGAGACCAGAGGTGAGGAGATGGAAGCTCTCGCCGGAGTGTTGTCCTCCCTTAGAAAGGAAAAGGAGACTCAAACAGAGACTACAGCTCCCCGCGTCGTGCTCAGGCACAGGGAATAGACACCCGTGAATTGGAACGGGGTTTGATGAGACTCTCGGTGGCCACTCAGACAGGAACAGAAAAGGCGGGAACTGGAGGGAGGGAAAGACCGTTAGTAGAGGCGGGACATGGGGATATAAAGGGAGAAAGAGACGCCATACCCGGGGGGTTGGGAATTGATATGGGTCGAGGATCCCTGGACAGGGAGATGCGAAAAAGTGAGAGTGCCTCGGGAAGAGGCTGATTATAGGAGAAGAAGGGGGTTACCTCCCAAGCCGTCATATTGGGGAGAGTCCAAAGCCAGAGAGTGGCGGAGGCGCTTAGGAGAAGGAAGTGGTGGAAAGGGAAGAACGCAAAAGGCGAGTATGGTGTCTGGAGGAGGCTCGCCAGAGGAGGTATTTACAGGACCTTGGGACCCCTATGTCGAGGGAGAGTGATAATAAAGATCAGGGTGAGACCAACCCTTTCACCAAAGGACCCTGGTGTGATCCAAGTTATAATCCCTTCCTACAAGATTTATGGACACCCTCGTTTGACCCGTTGGCGATGAGAGAAAAGAACACGGACAAGTTTAATGTTGATACCTCTTTATTTGATGTTCCAATAAACCCCAGCTCTGTTTTTCAAAAAACTGAACATCCTGTGTTTGTGTCCAACCAGCCCGAGGTTACACTTGAACCCTCACTATTCATTCATTCATTCAACTTATATGACACCCACACTACCCAAAGGTCCCTGGTGGCTTATAACAATTCTTCTTCTTATCTGAACTGCTAGATAGCTCAGTGGTTTAGGCATCTGGTTGGAAGTTCAATTCCCCACTGTGCCTCCTTGACAGGGGCTAGACTGGATGATCCCAAGTCCCTTCCAGCTCTGCAGTTCTAAAGCGATGATGATATGAATGAAATGTATGCTGCACTTGTAAATTTGTTGGTTAAACTTCTGTTCTTTATTAAATTTGTAAACAGCATTATATTCTTTGTCTCTGTACTAAAATAGTCTCAGTTTCCCTGATTTGGCAGAAATTATTGAAAATATTGCAATTATAGCAATGGTAAGTACCAGTTTTCATGTAGAAAGAGTTTAAACACAAGTAGGTGATCTCCAGAAGTCTGGAGGCTGCCCATCTCCAGACTGGAAAGCTGCATCTGTTCCTGCAACCCCTGCCCACCAATTTTTAAAAACAAAGCCCTTGTGCCTTGTAATATAGTTATGTATATCTATGCCAATGTCTGAACCAAATAAACGGGGATGGAGTAGGGGCAGCATTAAGGCGACTGAGTAAAACATGTTAGAATTGCTCCCACACTGTCTTGCGGATGCAAGGCGACTTTTTCAGTATTTTTGAAATAAATTAGGTTGTAAGGGAATGCTGAGGAGCTGCATTTGGGCATGCTGCTTACCTCTGGTTTAAAATAAAGGAGACTGTAGAGCTTCAGAATGGGCCACCTAAAAGTAGGTGGGAAGTAGTACCAGAGCTGAAAACACTTCTTTTACTACAGTGTCCAAAACCTCCAGCCAACATGTCCACTTTCTAAGAGGAAATGGGGAGCAGTCCCAACAGGGTAGACAACAGTTCTCAGAACTTTACTGAGAGCCTCTGGGAATTGCAGTCCAACAAAGGTAACATTCCCAGTCTCTGAGAAGCAAGTTCAGTTCTTCAAAACAGTTCATGGATTATGGCAGTGAAGAGTTTGCAGAGTCATAGAACCAAGCCTTACTGAGCTTACCCTTGGAGCAAAAGTAGTTCATCTGGTGAGAATGTTGTGGATGCACTTCCCAGATTGGTTCCATTGCTCCAATAATGTTAGAGTTGGATGCAGTCTGAGCACACAGAAAGCCCTGTGCCTGATGGGCAGCCTGGATTCCAAATGTTCATACTGGCCACCTAAGGTGTCTTTACATTGATTACTTCCTTGTGCTACCTGCCTATCAGCTATTTTCTCTTCCTAAATGGGGCGCGGGGTCACCAAATTTTAAAAGATGGAAGCAGCAGTGGGGAAAACACTGGCGGGAGACAATATGGGAAATTCTGTGGAGCAATTGAAAGATGAACGTGTTGTGTGGAAGCACCCTCACTCTCAGACAAAATGTGGAGGATATTATTAAAAAAAAGTAGAGAAAATGTGTGTTTGAGCATCTCATTAGATTTGTGATCACTCGCTTTCCCTTCAAGCCAGGTCCTACATGCTGCTTATCTAAAACCACTGGTGAGAACAAAAGTCCTTCCCAGACAGGATTGGTTTGTCTTGGACAGCCCTGAAATTAGTTGCTATGTTGAGATTGCTTGTTTACATTTGAAATGTTAATATGCGCTCCTCCTTCCACTGTGACAAGACAATGGACAACACAACACTGTGATCAAAAATGCATTGGAAGCCAGTTCAGATGTTGTAGTCCTCATATGACCTGGCTCTAAGAACAAGTATTTACCAGTCCGATGTATTCGTGAAGGCTTTCACGGCTGGGATCTAATGGTGGTGGGTTTTTCGGGCTCTTTGGCCGTGTTCTGAAGGTTGTTCTTCCTAATGTCCCTTCACAGCTGATGTTTCTGGAAACTTTTTAATTGAAGCCTTGTGCAAAGCACATGGTTGTAAATCTAATTTGTTTGTTGTTATGTGCCATCAAGTCAGAACTGACTTATAGCAACTTATAGTAAATGAGACATTTAAGGAGTAGTTTCACTAGTTTCAATGGACATAGAAAGCAGTGGTCAGTCGGGAGCCTGTAGTGACAATGTAGTTGAGACACAAGGATGAGATTTAGCCTTTGAGGCCATCTTCCACATCTAACATTACCAGGTAATATTTTGTAAATGCATAGTCCCTTTCCAGTTGTGTGACTCTATAGTAAATCAGAAGACACTGTCTGAATCAAGAATATTTCAAACCTTTGGTTTCCTTCTACAGGCAAGAACTGGCCTGCTGATGAATTTGATGGGAGTTTTACTTCTGAGCCTTGCTATCAACACATGGGGCATGAGCATCTTTCAGATGGGGACCTACCCTGCTTGGGCGAACATCCATGCTGAAAATACAACTGATCTGCTGATAGATGTGCAAAACATCACCTTGAACTCATTATGAGTAAATTAAGAATATAACAACCTTGTTTGGCAAAGAGAGGACAACTTCCTGGAAATCTGAGCACTGAATTAGATCGATATAAAGTACAATTATGCACAGTTATGGCAATGTTGATACCCAACAGCATATGACCATTCTTTTTTGCTTGACTTGTATACATACTGGTGAACGCTCACTGGATAATAATCATTTTGTGTCTCCGAAGGCTTTGTGTAGACACCCATCAATCATTTCTGGGTAAGTTTAGTCTTTCAGTCAAGGTGGCATTAATTGCTAGGCCTGGTAGGCTGTTTCCCATCTCTTTCGTAGAAACAAAGGGAATTTTCTTCCTTTTTGTATCTAAGGGATTAATAATCTAAATATTGAAGCATTATAGAAAAAAAGGATGAGCAAATGTAACATGTTTTTTCTTGGACCAGAAGATCTTGTAATCATTGTGAGTTACATATCCTTCACCAAATGCAGGTTTACAAAGCAAAAATAAGAAGAGGTCTTAACAATGTCATTAGTCCCGGGGGATTGCTGGCTGGCTGTATCTGCTGCTCTTAGAAGATGAAATAGGAAATCTTTGGCCTCCCAGAGGTACAAGCCTATAACTCATATAACCCCTATGCAGGGTGGGACAGGCCAGAGTTGCAGAATCCTTACCCTTGCTTTGAAAGGAGAATCCTGAAACAAATTGTGTTGATAAGCTTACACATAATGCACACTCTAAAAGGTGAGTGGCTGCTTTTTTTGGAGAGATTTCAGGGTGAAAGGCATTTAGAAGCAGCAGTATGGGGAGTGGAAATAAAAATGTAACAATTAGACATTTATCCTGGTCTTGCTCTACTTGAGATTCATAAATGCCTTGTAAATAGAGGAATTTATACAGTAGGTATTAGGCATTATAAAATAATATGTGGAAGCCTGGGGATTAATTTGGAAAATGCAGCAGCCGAGCAGCCACATCAGTTGGGAGCTGAGCAGCGTTCCTATCGGCTGAATGGTCTTATGACCTCTTAGGCTTCATCTCTTGAATACTTGATGTGTTTCAGCTGGTATTCTTTTGTAGGTGGGTGGGTGGGAAGCAGGATTCACCCATATAGGTGACAGAATGAGTAGAAGCTCAGAGTATTAAGGATATGTCCACACAAGTGCTCTTGTCCTGTTGATTTTTCACATTTCTCCTTTGCTGCTAGAAATCTGATTTTGTGCATTTTCCTTAATCAGATGCACATCCTTCTCCAAAAAGTATAGGCATCCTTCAGTCTCGAAAGACTATGGTAACATGCTCTGAATCGAGGAGTGTCCCCTCCAGAGCATGAAGCCTGGGTAAAGTAATATGGAGGATAGGCTGTTACCCAAGCAGCAGATCCCCCCTCTCCACGTTGCTGAAATGGTCCAATGGAAAGGCAAGAGCCAATACGACTGGTTCAGGCAACGTCGCAGGAGTCGGCAGAATGACAAGAACTGCCTTCGGGACTGCAGCTCCAAATTTTGCCTCTAGGTTTACTCCTGAAGCCTTTTCCATGAATGGATATAGCCACAAGGCAGTGGAGGTTTGAAATCGGAGTTTTCCTTCTCCTAGATGGGCTGCCTTCCATGGCTGCCGAGCCCCACCTACCCAGCCTGCTCTTTAATAGTGCAGAAGTATGATCCAATCTTTACAACTTTCCTGCCTCCCTGGCGCATGCAAATGTAATTCGCTTTCCTATTTACCATATTAGGGCCTGAGATACAGTCAGGGAATTTGAGAGCTTCGTGAGCCATTAGGCGCGTGGTTCTGGGACATGCTCTTTTAAAGCAGAAAGTCCCACCCCCTAGGCCCCACCCCCAGGCCATGCGGTGGGGTTTTTAATGACGTTCTCAATAAGCACTGAAAGTTTACAATTGTGGCCAAATCCCTATGCACCATGACTATTTATATAATTTACTAAGAACAAAGAAGATGGAACAAAAGGAGGCCTTGAAATTGGATTATGAAATAGGTAATCATTTAGTGTCTGTTACCAGTTGTTGTTAACAAGATGGCTAGATGAATGAAGTGTCCCAATGATGTTTTTTTTAAAAAAAAAATCACACACAAACATATAAAGACAAAAGAGGATGTGGAGAAGGATGAAGGCCAGGAATGTGTTCTGGGAGAGGGATGGCATAAAACTCCCAAGCTGACAAATCATACCTAATTTTGTACTTCTTGAGTGACCTAGAAATTTGTTTGAGTGAGATTCCCAGGAGACGATATGCAAACAGCAAGATATTGTATGAGATAGTAGGGACTACATAGGAGCTTAATAGAACATAGGAAGATGCCTCAAGCTGAGTAACACCATTGATACATCTAGCTCAGCCTTACCTTTACTGGCTACAGATATTATTTTAGACAATATCCCTTTAATTTTGCCAATATGCCACTAGTTTTGAAGCACAGTATGGATATTGCTATTGCAAGTCATTCTCACTAGCTTTGAACTTTTCAAATATGAAGATGACTTGACAGCTGGTGTGTCAAGTATGTGACTTAAAATAGTTTAAATCATCTTCAGAAGTTAACTCATTGGGAGTGAAGACAAATTTAAGTGGTTTTTAAGTGATCACAGCTGATCCTTCACCCGGTGACCCAGACTTTACAACAAATATGAGGGCTTTCCAGTTCTTGAGGAACTGCCGCTCCCATCACACTACACTAATGGTTCCCAACCTTTGCTCCCCAGATGTTCTTGGACAAAAACTCCCAAAAGCCTTCACCACTAGCTGTGCTAGCCAGGATTTCTGGGAGTTGTAGTCCAAGACCTTCTGGGGACTCATGGCTGGGAACCACTATACTTCGGTCATTAGCCATGTTTGTTAGCCTGGTGGGAAATGGTGTTTAGCAACATCTGGAGGCCCACTGGTTTAAAATTGGCTTTATTCTTAAAAAGGAGGTTTGCTTAGACATGTATATCCAAGCTTCAATTTTTTTAAAAAAAGTTTACACTTTTATAACTATTGCAGAAGTACTTGAGACATTATGTGTGAAAATTATGTATATGGATGACACCAGCAGAACTTGGGGGGTGGAAATTTTTTTTCTTGGACTGCATTTCCCAAAATCTTCCTGCTGCCATGGCTAGACAGCCTATGGTCATGCTTGCTGAGGGATTATGGGAGTTGTAGTTCCAAAAGGATAACTTTCCAAAGCTCAGTAAATGAGAATGCTAGCCAAGAGGTGCCTTCAACAATAATCTTTCCCAAGTTCAAAACTGAACCATTCTGGAAACTCAAAACATGTCGCCCTGCATAGAAAATATATGTTCACACCAAAGAAAGGAGGAAATTTTCAAATTAGGCCCATGTGTTGCAGTGGTCTTCAGTCTCAATAGCCTGAGAAAAGTCACTGTCTCAGCCCATTGAATATAGTGATCCACTTCAAAGGGTTGTTGTGAAGAAAAGTGATGTAAGGACTGTAAACATATAAAGGGTTAGAGAAGTGATGGATGACTTCTACATGCTGATGGGAAGATTATGGTACAAAGCTTTTAGCACTGGCTAGAGTGGTGGCGCTGTGGGTTAAACTGCAGAAGCCCCTGTGCTGTAAGGGCTATAGATCTGCAGCTGTAAGATCGAATCCACATGATGGAGTGAGCACCCATTGCTTGTCCCAGCTCCCGCCAACCTAGCAGTTCGAAAGCATACAAATGTGAGTAGATAAATAGGGACCCCCTCGGTGGGAAGGTTACAGCGTTCCATGTCTAAGTCGCACTGGCTATGTGACCACGGAAGATTGTCTTCGGACGAACCGCTGGCTCTATGGCCTAGAAAGGGGGATGAGCACCGCCCCCTAGAGTCGAACACGACTGGACAAAAATTGTCAAGGGGAACCTTTACCTTTACCTAGAGAGGTGCAAAATTATACCGTTGAATGATCATATTACACACTCTCAGAAGATCTCTTCCCAGTTGATCCTAACAGTGCATACTTTATAAATCTAGGTTTTTGATAACAGACATTAGTATTTCAGCATAACCAACCTCACAGGGCTGTTGTGAGGACCAGGTGGGGTCCTCCTTGGGCTCATTTTCAGAAAGGTGCGAATAAATGTAATAAATAAGTCAAAATTAATGGCAGTTATTAAAGCAGTGAAATCTTTAGTTTCTTTTCATATAAATTATCTGAGTACTTTCAATGAAAGTGTTTGTACATGGACAGTGATCATAATCACCATTGTAATTCAGATTTTGTTAACGTTATGCATGTGTATAAAAAATTTGAAGATATTCCAATTGAAAAAATACTTGGAAAGATACAATACTAGGGGGATGAGATGAAAGTGGATTTTTGCTATGATGCAAAATAGGAAGTCAGTGACTTTGTAATTCTCTGCTTACCTTGTCTTATTCAGGATCTGCTCCTGGAGTGTGCCTGAAATATACAGCCATTAAACACATCTCTGTTTCCCTTTCTCTTTACTCATAGTTTCAATTGCTATGAAAACAGCATTAAAATTGTATCACTGATGCAAATGTAGCCAGAGCTATGTAATGTGAAAAGCCGTTTGAATGGCTGTGACAACTAAAGATACAATGTACTCGTTACCCTTATTTGCACTGTGTTGTGTCCTATACGTATATGTGAGTCACAGGCAAAGGGTGGCACTTGAGTTTCCTCTCTTGCACATATTGTCATTGCACAAGTAGAGTGATTCACTAGTTTCCATGCAATGAACTGGAAGACGTGAAGGAAGTCTCCCTGAAAATGAAGACTGTGAACACATTTGAATATCCCCTGGGCAACAACAGTGCTCTTCGCCTGATCCTTCTGTTCTGGAAGCACTACTGAATTGCTTCCAACATGAATGAAAAAGACACAATAAAACAAGAAGCAGTTGTGTTGAATGGAAATATATCCCCAGTGATCAACTTAGGTTCCCATTCTGTGGAGATATGATGGGCACAAGGACTATAAAACCTCTGGATAAACATGGACTTCGGCTGATTGCTCAGAAAACCATGGAGATTCTTGGATTAGGGTGACAGTGCCACTGCTAGCTACAGAATTCTGAATGACAGATTCTCACCTGTTAGGAAATTGCATTCTGTTCTTTTCCTGTACAACAGCTTTCCTTAATTTGGTGCCCCCTCTGGATAGTTAATCGTAATTGCCTACTACCAAGTCAATTCTGACTTGTATTGACTTTTTTCAAGTATTTCTAGGTAGACAGAAGTGGTTTACCATTCCCTTCTTCTGGGGGCATCCTGTGACTGTGCAGCTTGCCGAAGGTTGAATAGGCTGGATCTACTCGCAGGAAGCACAGTGGAGAATCAAACCTTTCGCTCCACAGCCAAATACCCATTTTACCAAACTATCTAGCCAACTCTTCTCTAGATAATTACTCCTTCCTATTAGTAATAGGATTACTCCTTAGTAAATTGACTCAAGTTAAGAAGACTCCATATGTTATCTGTGCAACAGACAACAACTAAAGGCATTTCTTAACTTGAGGCATTTCGTGTCCAAAGATCACTCCTTCCAAAAGGATTTCAACCAATAAAACACAAAAATAACACAGAAAATAGCAGAACATCAGCAAGGAACTATTTTAAAAGGCAGAGGCAGATTAAACACATCAAGTGCCTTTCTTTTAAAAGAAAACTCTCTAGTAGCTTCTGGAGGACCACTAGTGAGTGGATTTTTCTCTTGGAATGAATGCCAGACTCATTTAGGACAAATTATCAAGCCTAAACTATTCAAGCTCATCATATTCCTTTGACCAGCCCTGCTTGTATGCACTGGATAACAGCCTAATACACAGAATTTTAATAGGTACAACTTTTCCAGATACAAATGTATGTATAGTAGAAAATTAATGGTGTACTTAATTTTGAGCTGTCATGCTGTGATTAAGTAGAAGTAGCAGTGCAATTCCTATTTGTTTGGCTTCCCACACCTGTTGTTTCAGGGGTCTTGCACCTGTTGCATTGTGGCTATAGAGTAACTTGGAGAAATGTTTTAAGAATTCATTGTGGCCACAAGAGCAAAATAGGTACCATCATACTAGCTGTATGGTGTGCCTACTGGTACCTATTTTGGTACCAAAACAGTCCCACTGACAGTTACTATACAAGAGCAAAATAGATATGATGGTACCTATTTTGCTCTTGTATAGTAACTGTCAGTGGGACTGTTTTGGAAATACTCCTTGCCCATTTACACAGTGGTATTAGCGAATGTGTACTGTTGCAGTGTTAGTCTGAGGCAATGAACATAAGCACACCAATAGCACACCCTTGAACTACTTTTGCTGTTGCTCTACTTGTTAGTTTTTCCTTGGAACTTCATCTGTCTAAATCAATTGAATGGGTCTTTAGATCTACTAAACCCATGATTACTGGAGTACCTCATAATTAGGGAGAGAGAAAAGGAGGTCAAGGAAGAGGATTTGACATGCAACAGTTATCTCACCAAGTCTTGTCCTTTTGTTAATATTACAATCTAGGAATTATGGTGAGGACAACTGAAAGTTATTATTAAATGCACCAAAATTTATGTAATAGATTCAGCCTTGTTTACCCATAGTCATAGGTGCGATTTGAGATGACTGTATAAGGTGCTTGCTGATGGACATGTTTCATTTTAATGGAAATGCCAGCTTGCAGTTGTTATCATTGCCGTGACTCCAAAAGCACACACAGATAATTACTGTTTGGTGTTGTACAGCAGTGGTCCCCAACCTTGGGCCTCCAGATGTTCTTAGAATACAACTCCCAGAAGCCTTCACCACCACTTCTGCTGGCCAGGATTTCTGGGAGTTGAAGTCCAAGAACATTTGGAGGCCCAAGGTTGGGGACCACTGTTGTACAGCACATTCTATCATGGCGCTTCCACCACTGAGAATGAATGCAGGTTGCACAATACAAGTAAAGTTAACACCTTTGTCATTTCCCCAGAAGTCGTCTTTAACTTTCCAGAGGATCCCTAGAGCAGATGTGTTTGATGTTGTTCCAGACAAAGTAAACACTCTGCCAAGTTGAGTTAAAAAGGTGAAGACTGAATGACATGTTCTGTGGAACTGGATGGTTTTATCCAGGATTCTAACACTGAAAGTGACCTCAGGTGGGAAAAAAAAGAAAGAAAGCAGGAGCTATTATTTTAATTTCAAAAATGGGATGCTGCAAGGTTTCAATGCCTATCTGGTTTTGTTCATCTACCCTATTTAGATACTTGTCAGTTGTTTGTTTCCCTCCTTGAGCTTGCTGCTGGAATATTGTAAAAATGTGCAAATGCCCTTAGAGTAGTAAAGGAGGGTAGGCTTAGATTGTGATTGTTAAAAACATACAAACGTGTAGGCTTCTGTGTGGATGGATTCTTTTGTTTGTGGAGCAGGCCTGATCCTGGACTCAAATTGCAGAAAGCCACATTTTGATTGAATATCAGGGAAAACATCCTCACTGTTGGAGCAGTACGACAATGGAACCAATTACCTTGAGAAGTGGCAAGTGATCCAACAATGGAGGCATTCAAGAGAAACTTAGACAACCACCTGGCAGATATCCTTTGATTTGTATTCCTGCATCAAGCAGGGGGTTGGGCTTGATGGCCTTATAGGCCCCTTCCAACTTAACTATTTATGATTCTATTATCCCAATTCCCCTTTCACATGCTGCATTGTCTATAGTTGCCACAGTATTGGATTTCCATAGCAATCATTCCTTTGAATGGAGCCATCTCCCTGTGTCTATCAGACATTGCATCAGGAGTGGAAGATCCTTTGTGAATTCCTTTGCAAGTCTTTTCTTCTGGATTCTGACTTGATTTCTTTCATTGCGTTCAGTAACAGGTGGTGCAGGCATGGCATAACAGCATTTAGCCACCAGGAGTCAGCATAGATTCATACAGGTGGTTAATAAATTCTGTTGTTGATAAACGATTCATTCACATGCACGAGAGATTCCAGAAAGCCGGGATCAGTCACAGAAGGCTTGTGGGTTCCTTATGAGAGGAAGGGTTGCAGTATTAAAATGGAGGGTATTAAAATGGAAGGTTTTGTACTCTGTGTCTGGCTGTAAAGGCCCTAGTGGGAAAACTTGATTAATATCTTCCAAATTCCCTAGATGTCTTCTGTACAAACTTTTATGTTAGTCATCTCCAGGAGTGTGAATACATCAGTTCATCAGAGCAGAAGACTTGTGCACTGAATACATCTATCACAGAGCGTATTGATTTAGCTTGCACACCTGATACCTTACAGTACACTTACCTGATCTTGGAGGAAACAATAATCTTGGTGCAATAAAGTGAAGTATGCAATGATTGGCTGGTGTGTGTGTGGAATTGTTGCTGCATGATCAACAATAAAATAATCTGAATGTAATCTACAATATTTAGGTGCATTCAGAGTGGTGATCCATGGAATTCTTGTGCTAGAGAGGGGGCTGGTCCCAAACATTTTACTGCTTCAGGGTGTGTATGAAAGCTGACCAGATGGACCACTGACACTGTTTTATCAGACAAAGTCATCTTGCACAGCACCTCGGCACAGAAGGGTGGCCTGTCAGTAGGAGCACGGAGCAGATTACAAGGTAAACAACAGCACTAGCCATTCCAGGCCCATCAGTATCTGCTGACTGGGAGGCTGCCTCCCTCTGCCTCGCAGCAGAGCCAGCCCTGACCAAAGGAAAAGAGCAGAGGGCATATATTCAGTTCTTCCTTCCCTCCTGCTGGTGCCTCCTCAACTACTGTTCTAGTGAGCTGGGGAAACAGTGGTGGGGTCCAGTATGACACATGCTGGAGGTTTTTTTGATGGACTCTTGGAATATAGGACCATCAGACCATTGGCACACCTGGCTTGGTATCACTGGGGGAGGGTTGTGGTTTAGTGGTAAAGCATGGTGTGTCTTCTACATACAAGGTGGCAGGTTCTAGATCATTAGCGAGATCTCTACCTGAATCCTTGGCAAGCCACTGCCAGATAGTGCTAGACTGATGAATTCTCCTTGCCACCGCCAGCAACCTTGCAGCAGTTCCATGTTCTCTCCTGTCCTTCAAGTAGATGTTAAGTTAGAGTGGGGAGATTTAATATGCAACCTTCCGGATGCAAAGTATGTTCTCAGTCATTAAGCTCGGAGCTCAGAAAACCTTACTGGCTACAATTCTCAGAATTTCCTTGCAAGCATTGTCGTCCTAGAAACTCACATTACCAGACCTGGGACAAGCTGACCCAATGCTTTTCCAATGTTCCCTTAAAATGATGCACTTTTACCCTGCCAGAATTATTAACGTTTTGCAATCTGTTGGAGAACCATCAGTAGTTGTCTGCCTTTAAAAGAGAAAGTAATAAGGAGAGCGAAAGTACAGATCAATTTATTTTGCCATTTTGTAGCTGTTGACCCTTACAGCCTGAGTTTTGCCCATATAAGTTAATTTCTTATCAGAGGAGGTCTGGGATTCAAATCTATCCCAAAAATTAAAGTGATAAGATCATATTGCCTCATTTCTAATCTCACTTCTATGGAGGGCTTATCTATAGTTTCCTAGTAATGAATCATGCATGATCTGTACCCTCTTCATGGATTGCTGCCTTGTCGTGGCAAGGGGGCTTCAGTCACTCAGAGAAGTTATGGGCTATGCCGTGCAGGGACACCCAAGATGGTCAGGTCATAGTGGAGAGTTCCAGCTAAATGTAATCCACATGGAGTAGGAATTGGCAATGCCACTCCAGTATCTTTGTCAAGAAAACTCCATGAACAGAAACAAAAGGCTAAAAGATATGATGCTGGAAGATGGGCCCCTCAGGTCAGAAGGCGTCCAACATGCTACTGAGGAAGAGCAGAGGACAAGTACAAGTAGCTCCAAGGAGATCAAACATATCCATTCTAAAGGAAATCAACCCTGAATGCTCACTGGAAGGGCAGATCCTGAAGCTGAGAAGAGAAATCTCCCTGGAAAAGACCCTGATGCTAACATGTGTGAAGGAAAGAGGAGAAGGGGACGACAGAGCCTGAGATGGTTGAACAGTGCATCAAAGCTACTAACATGAT